AGAAAGTATGGATATGGATTGCCTGGACCAATTTTATGGTTCAATGAATTTCTTTTATTTCCTTAGTAATTTACAGGCAGCAACTTGTAAAAAATACTATGAAACCAGGTTTGCTGAGTTATTACTTTTAGTGCCTTCATCCATTCAGATTGCCATAACAAAATATTACAAACTGGCAGTTTGTGAACAACCCGCATTTATTTTTACGGTTCAGGAGGCTAAATCCAAGGTGGATGTGCTAGCAGGGATGGGGCAGCTGAGGGCCTTAGTGGTCTCATGGCCTCTTCTAATTTTCTTATGTGTATGAGAGCTTTTTCTGTATGTGTCTGTGCACATTTGTGCAGCGCCACAGAAGCGGGAAGACGCAGGTCCCCATGGAACTAGAGTTAGAAAAGGTTATGAGCCACCATGTGGCTGCTGGGAATCCAACCCAAGTCCCCTGCAAGAGTACCCAGTGCTCTTTTAATTATTGTGGTTGTTTTGAGACAGGGTCTCTAGACTATGCAATCCTGGCTGTCCTGGAACTCAATATATGGACCAGGCTGGCCTTGACCTCACAGATCAGCCTGTCTTAGTCCCCACCAAGTGTTGATGCTAAAAGCAAGTGCCACCAAGCCTTACACAGCTTAACTGCTGAGCCATCTCTCCAGTCCCATACTTTTTCTTTGAGCTTAAGTGAGGAGTTTATTGAGAGAAGGGTGAAGGGAAGGAAAGAGAGAGACAGAGAGACCTGCTTGCCTCTTCAGAAGAACAGAGGGAAGAAACTCCAGTCCCATACTTTTTATAGTTTTTAATCACAGAGATTCCAAACAGATTGCCTCCTCTTTTCCCTATTCACAAGGTTTTATTTAAGGAACAGGGTAAAAATGAGATACTTTTGGCTCGTGTAAAAAGGGAAAACAGACCCTTGCTGGTGTTTTCTTGATTTGGCTGTTAAAATTGTGATTAATGCATTGATTTCCTTATGCTATCCCTATTCTAGAAACGTGCATACAAGAGCTATGTCCGAGCCCTTCCTGTGCTGAGGAAACTGGGCATCAACTCCATTATCCTTCGAAAAAGTATTGGCGCTCTTGAAGTGGCCTGTGGCATCGTCATGACCCTGGTCCCTGGGCGTCCCAAAGATGTGGCCAACTTCTTCCTGCTGTTGCTGGTGTTGGTTGTGCTCTTCTTCCACCAGCTGGTCGGCGACCCTCTCAAACGTTATGCGCACGCTCTGGTGTTCGGCATCCTGCTCACCTGCCGCCTGCTGATTGCGCGCAAGCCGGAAGACCGTTCTGAGAAGAAGGCCTTGCCTGAGAGCGCAGAAGAGCAGCCCTCCTTATATGAGAAGGCCCCGCAGGGCAAAGTGAAAGTGTCTTAGGAAAATGGAAGTGCAAAAAGTGGACCTTCTAGGCAGTTGCCTCCCTGACACCCAAGAAGATATCAGTGTGTGTTTTTCATTTGATTTATTGTTCTTAGGGGAAAAGCAAAAAGTACAAACTGCAAGTTAATTGGCTTGTGTACATCTATACCCTAAAATGACCTCCCCACATTGACATTCGTGCACCGCCTTTAGTCACCCTGGAACAACGCTCACATGTTGCTGCATGTACATGTGTGTGGCTACTATTGAGCTGTGTTTGTGAGGTGGACTCCAGCAAGCACGTGACTGTGAGATTCTGTGTGGGGGGAATGGATTGAACTGCCATGTGTGTGAGTATACACGCATGTGTGGAAGAGGGGGCTCTGAACTAATCCTGCACAGGTATCCTTCCCTTTATAAATTGATTCCAGCAAATGTAGAATAGGGAACCCTCCTGGTACGAGAATCCTATTCTAGCAGAAAAGAAAGAACCTATTTCCACGTGGGGTGGAACTCCCTCTCTGCATTAAGCTGTAAACTTAAACTCACCATTTTACAAGAAGAGTTTCTTCAATTTAATTAGCTTCTAGTTCGGCTTTTAAGTTCGAAACACTCAACATCAAGTTTAATTCAAACAGGGGATATGTGCAGGCAATAGATAGTGCGCTTCTTCAAGCGGCACAGTAGGAAGTCTCTCCTCGCCTTTGTTTGAGTCCAAGCGACTGAGCTCTTTGGCTAGCAGTTTGAAATTTAATTAACAGTCTTTTACTAGACACAGCCAAATTTGGTTTTAAGCCCAAAGCTGCCTCACTTTCACTATTCTCAGTAGCCAACCAGGCAGGGCCTGACAGCTTCCCCACAGTTTCCACCGGGGGACTAGCGATTGGTCCTGTTTAAAGTTTGAATCTCCAGCCCTAGCGGTTTTCTGAAACCTGAAATTGGATGGGAAAGCTGTATCCAGTGTTTACCTATCAGAGGAGTCCTCTACTCTTATTGATTTGTCACCGAACTTTGTGAATGTTTAACAGAGTCCCAAATACCCCCAGAAGTGTCTGTTTTACATCTCTTCAGCATTCCAGCAGGTGGAGTTAGCTAGGGGAAGGACATTTGACATGGCTTAGTTGGATTGAGCAGTATGGAAATTTGCTTTTGTAGTTACATACTGCTGTTTCTTTGTCAAATGTGCTTTGATGGTTTTAATGTTGTGCCAGGGATGGGAAAGGGGGCAGGGGCTGTGTGTGGGAACAGTACTTACTGTATTTTCTTCAGTGTCATCGTCCTTGGTAATTGCTAACTGTTTTCTTTCGCTTGTTCTTTCAAAATAAAGGTTTTTGAAATTTGGAGGACATGGTGTGGATATCTGGAAAGAAAAGTTCCCATAAACAAGGGACTCAGAGTCTTCTGTTCGTGTGAATTTCTTGAGCTTCTTGTTGTTGGTGTTTGTTTGTTTTAAGGCAAGGTCTCACTGTATAGCCTAAACTGGCCTCAAAGTAGAGATTCTCTTTCTTTAATTCACAAATACTGGGCATCTAGGCCCGTGTCACTCATTACACCTAGCCCAGATACCTGCACCTCCCCTTCTCTGAAATAAGATCTCACTATGTAGCGCTGGCAGTCCTGGAACACAGAGAGATCCATCTGCTTCTGCCTTCTGAGTGCTGGGTTAAATGTATGTGCCACCACACCTAGCTCCAAGCTCTTAAAGAAACAAAAGACTAGATGAAGAAGAAAAGGGTGTAATAGTTTCAGTATACAAATAAGGCTGCTAACGTGCACATCCTTTTAAGTTCCTTCATGCTTTTTTTTTTTTTTCTTCGAGACAGGGTTTCTCTGTGTAACAGCCCTAACTGTCCTGGAACTAGCTCTTGTAGACCAGGCTGGCCTTGAACTCACAGAGATCTGCCTGCCTTTGCCTCCTGGAGTGCTTGGGGTTAAAGGCGTGCACCACCACCGCCCGGCTTCCTTCATGCTTTTTTGATGTTACCATGTAAGAGGAGAAGCCTTAGAGTCTTAGGATAAAGCCTTAGGATCCCAATACTATCTCCAGGTTTAGGAAGGCCTTTATTGAGTGAGTCAGAGGAAAAGATGAAATATTATTTCAGAAAAAACCCAAGGGTTCATTAAATAAATATGAAGCAGTGTCTTTTACTACACTGTGTCCACAAAGTGACAAGCTGTACTGTCACAAATTTGTCACGTTAAGTAAGTTATTTCATCACTTAGGGTACCATTTCATCTGCGAAAAGGAGGGTGAAGCCTTCAATCCTGTCCAGTTTACACTTATTTGAGTGTATTAAATCATTAAATGCATGAAAAATGGCTCAATAAAAATTTCAATTTTGCTAAAGAGCAGCTATCAGAAAAAATGGACAGTCTCAATTTTTATGCATGAGTAAATGAGTTTGTCAAACTACTCTAAAACCATGTTAGATGTGGTAGTCGTTTTTGCTGTAGTCTATATCAAATACTTCAAGTTAACCCTCGGTTATTTATGCTTGTCTGAGATGGCAAGTTTTTCCTGTAGAATTTTGCATAAAGTTCATAATAATCTTATGGCCTCAAGTCGCTGAGAGGCATTACATTTATAAATTCCTCCTTTATTCCTAACTTTCTTTTTTCTTTTTTAAGACAAGGTCACACTGTAGCTCAGACAGTCCTCCTTCGGTGGTCATTCTCCCCCAGTCTCTCCTGTGCTGGGATTACAGGCTTGAGCCTCCTCTCTGGCTTTTATTCCTAGTTCAGTAGAGATTAAATTAGGGGCTAAAGTTAGATCATGTACTAAGTTTTTATTGCTGCTTTAGCTAGTTTAAGGTCAGTTAGTTCTTCAAGGTTAGGAATATTTACACGTTGACAGCCACTTTCAAGATGGATTAATAGCTGACCCAGAATTTTTTATTTTTTCGAGACAGGGTTTCTCTGTGTAGCCCTGACTGTCCTGGAACTCACTCTGTAGACTAGGTTGGCCTCGAACTCACAGAGATCTGCCTGCCTGTGCCTTCCAAATGCTGGGGTTAAAGGCATGTGCCACCACCGCCTGGCTGTTTTTAGTAAATTTATTTGTACCCATCTTCTGTCAAAAGCAGGCAGATCTTGTGATTTTTCTCTTACTGTCCATTTCCCCCGACCTCCACCTCGAACTCCACAGGAAAGCGACAGACCCTTTAAGTCACAACATATGGAAAAACCGCCTTTATTGTCAAGTTTTCAGTTTTACATTTTTCTGCAGATTCCAAGCCCCGACATTTGGGGTCAATGTGGGCAAAATGAAAACCACACTTTACCACGTTAAATTCAATGCCAAGTCACTTAGCACTGTTCCACTCACAATGACCGCTGCAAACCCCAGAACTCGGAGACCACCACCGGTCAATCAACTGACTTCCAGTTGCGACTGCCGGCTGGGGCGTACCCCAGGCCTCCGTGGGTGGGGCCAGTCACTTTGCGTCATTGAGGCGCGTCTTTCTCCGCTGGCGCGCGCGCCACCTCCCGCCTCAAAGCTGCACTCAAACCAATTAGTTTTCGGCTGAACTCGCTTCCCCCGCCGTTGCGGGCTCCCCCGAAGCGCATGCGCGGGGCGGGGCTGGCGCCTTTGAATCTCGGAGGCGGCTTTTGGGAGCTAGAGGACCAGTGCCGAAGTTCTTAGGGTGAGGTGCTGGGCGACTCCGACCAGGGTGGCACTGAGATCTGCAATACCGCGACCGGCGAGGGTAAAACTAACTCTGAAAAGGGAAACCGGCATTAGATTTTCCTCTGTGGTCTCAGGAATAGGCCTAGTCGGGGAGTTGTTTGCCTGTTTCGCTGTTAGGTGGGGAGGGAGGGCCACGAATTGAACCACCCCGTGGCGCTGGAGCAGTTCGCCCAGTGGGGGTCCTAATCTGCTTCCTGACCCTTCTTAAGTAGGATGCTCTTGTCACCAGACCTCCCCTCCTTCTGTCTTGAACTTATTATGTGTTCTCTTGCCCTGGTCTCATCTGTTCTAGGGGGAAGAGACTGAATGTCATTTCATCTGTTCCCGTAGATTTTCCTACTTGAAGATAAAAACTTAGAAGCCAGTCTTGGTTCCTTATTAGTTATTCTTGGTTTCCCTCATATCTGTGTCTAATTCTTTGTTTTATCTTTTTAACAGTCTACCCAGGTATATATGCTCCTGCACCGAGTATCTCATAGGACATGTAAGTCTTTTTTTTTTTACCCTACTTAGACCTACTGCTGGCCAGTCATTTGCTTTCTTTGGCAAAGCCTGGTAAGTGGTTTCTCAACACTTCTGAACTCTAGTCTCTACATTACAGAAAAGAAAAATGGTCTTACGTTTCCTCTCCCGTGATTTGATACTGAAAAGTCAGAGTCCTTACTCTTTGCCTATAAGACCCAATATGATCTCCCCTGTTACAGTTCTGACTCTCACTTTACACTTTAACTCTTTTGATCCAAACTGTTCACACTGGTGTTGACATGTTTTCATTAATATGCAAATTTCTTTCTTGCTTGGATGTTTTCCATTTTTCTTCTCATCAAATACTCTTCCCCTGCACCTTCAAATGGCCCACTCCTTCTTGGCACTTAGATTTCATCTTCCTTAAGGGTCACGAAAGAGGGCTGTCTTAATTACTTTTCTTCTTTCTTGGTGAAGAGACACCATGAGCAAGGCAACTTATAAAAGAAAACATTTAATTTGAGATTTAACTATTACAAGGGGTAGCAGAACCCATGCAATCATGTGGTAGACAGGCACAGTCCTGGAACAGTAGCTGAGAGCTTATATCTTATCCACAGGCACAAGGCAGACAACTAAGTGGGAATGGTGTGGAGTTTTGAAGTCTCAAAGCCCACCCTCAGTGACTCATTTTTCTCCAACAAGGCCACACCTCCTAGTCATTCCCAGATAGTTCTACCAACTGGGGATCATGTATTCAAAGATATGGGCCTGGGGGGGGGTATTCTCATTCAAACCACCACAAGAGGCTTTCTCTGGACACCTACTCAAAATTAGATTCCTACTCCACCTCATTTCTGTCACTTCACTGCACTTGTTACTTACTGGGTCCTTGGTTTATAACCCCTGTCCCCCAGTATAGGGTTCATGAATTCAGGTACCATGATGTTTTATTTTTACAGCCCTGGTAACTAGACTGTGTTTGGCATAAAGATGATGATGCATAGTATTTATTGAATGTGTGAATTAATAAATGGATAATATTGCTACCCTGGGCATTAGTTAGCTTTTTTTTAAATTTATTTATTATGAATATAGTGATCTGGGCACCGGATCTCATTACGGATGATTGTGAGCTACCATGTGGTTGCTGGGAATTGAACTCAGGACCTTCAGAACAGCAGTCAGTTCTATTAACCTCTGAGCCATCTCTCCAGCCCTAGTTAGCTTTTTTAACTGTGCAGTTTTAACATACTACTGGCAAAAAAAGACAGTGTAAAGATCGAAAGCAAAATCAAGGAGGGGTAGATAAAATAGGAGTAGGAAAATATTGCAATTGTGAGATGGGATGGTTTTGTACTTAAAAATATAGCCATTTTAAAAGTTTAGCTAATATATATTACATTGGCAAGTTATGAATCTATTGCTGTTCAGGTCAAGGACTTTCTAAAAAAGCCTATGGGTTAATTGTCTCCTGTCATTGAATACCTGTTGCACATGGGAATGCAGACAAATATGGTCATTGTCTCTGGCTGGGTAATAGTAACTTGGTACTCATTTTTGTTTAGAACATATATACAGTGATGGCAACTCAAAGGAAAACCAGAAGCTCTGAGCTCCAAAACAGAATTTCTCAAGGTAGTAATACTTTTCAGACCAGTCTCTTAGCCTGGAAGGTAAAAGAGAAATCGGGCAACTCGGAGAGTGTCTTGAAAGAAAGTAGTTCAATGGAAGATCCTAAACATGCTGATGATCAAGACGAAGATGACCTGCAGATAGCAATAGGATACTTCCAGAAAGGTAAAGGCAGATGATTTTCCTTATGAAAGTGCAGTTTATTTTATTTACTTTTTTTGTTTTTATTGAGACCGGTCTCTATGTATCTGAGGCTGGCCTTGAACTCACTATGCAGCAGAGGGTGGCCTCTAACTTGATTGCTAAGATTACAGGTGTGCATTGCCATGCCTGGTTTATGTGGAGCTGGTGGTAGAACCCAGCATTCTCGAATCTGAGCTACAACCCCAGCCCAAGCCCCGAAATTCCTATTTCTCTCTAAAAATATTTCGGTCCTAATTGCTGGATACAGTGGCAGACATATCTGTAATCCCAACACGGGGAGTAAGACAGGTAAGAGTAGGAACCTGTCCAAAAATAATTTTTGTCTTTTTTAAAGATTTTTTTTTGAGATAAGGTTTCACTGGGTAGCCCTGGCTGTCCTGGAAATTGCTTTGTAGACCAGGTTGGTTTCAGACTCAGAGAGGTCCTCCTGTTGCTTCCTCCTGACTGATGGGATTAAAGGTGCACACCATCATGTCCAGCCTTAAATGCTTTTAAAGGGAAAGATGTTTTTGTTTATTCAAATTTTTATCTAATAGTCACTTATCGAGAATTTACTATATGACAACATTTATATACTATAGACAAAACAAAACATTTTCCTAGCATAGTGGTTAGCAGACACTGTGATCACTTCAGAATCTTTAAAACATACTAATTCTTATCATTTATTCTTAGACATCTGATTTTGTTGCTATGGGATGTAACCTGGCACTGTGACTTTTGAATGACATCTAGGTAGGCTAGGGAGATGGTCCAGTTGAAGAAGAGCTTGCTTTGTAGGTATAAGGACCTAAGTTCAAAGTATGTAAAAATCTTGGCATGGTTTATGTGCTTGTAATGCCAACACTGGGGTGGCAGAGATAGGAGACTCCCTGTAGCTTATTGGCCAGGTAGTCTAGCTGAATTGGTGAGTTCCAAGTTCACTGAGAATCCTTGTCTCCAAAAAAATAAGGTGGCAAGTGATAGAGGAAGATTCCTAGCATCAAATTCTCCTTCACACTCAACCTTACACATGGCTCACACACTCATAGGTACACACATGCTCATGTATATACACAAATAAAGGTTTCTAGTAAAATTTTGGAATTATCCTAATATTGAAAGAGGATTTAATTAAAGTTGAATGTTTGTTTATATATATATATATGTGTGTGTGTGTGTGTGTGTGTGTGTATACACACATATATATATCCCATATCAACAAAATCAGATGTCTTAAGAGTACATGATAAGTATTAGTATTTTGTAAAGATTCTGAGGTGATCACAGTATCTTCCAGCCACTATGCTGGAGAGATGTTTTGTTTTGTCTATAGTATATAATACATTGTGATATAGTATATTTCAATATATACTGAGCTGTCAGGGCATGAGGGATGTTTTCTTCACTGAAGATTCTATTGTTGCTAAGCACTGAGTAATATATAGGTTCTCAAGGTTTTTAATTTGCTTGTTTTATTTTTTGTTTTTTTAGAGGAAGACAGTTATTGCATAAATCTATTCCTTTAATGAGTCCCTAGGTTGTAATTATTGAGGATGAGCACTGAAAGATTGTCCAAGGTCTACTTGTTTAATATTGTTTCTTTTTCCAGGTCCCAAGAAAACTTCACTCAATAAAAATACAATGTTGGAAAAACACTTGAAAACTGTGGAAAACGTGGCTTGGAAAAATGGCTTAGCTCCAGAAGCAATTGATATTTTACTAAATGTGGCACTCAGTGGCAAGTTTGGTATGTTGAACTGATATATTTGTCATTAGTTTCCTGTTAGTTTTTGCCATTTAGACAGTTTTTGGGTTTTGTTTCTTTTTTCTTTCCAAAGAAAATGTACTGTGTCTGTTTTGCTTTTGTTTTTTATTGAAAATAATATTTTTCTACAGTATATTCTAATCATGGTTTTTCCTCCTTCATCTCTTCCCATATTATTCCCACTTCCCACCTGTCCCACTCCACACCTTCTTTCTCTCTCACAAACATGCGCTGGGTGGTGGTGGTGCACGCCTTTAATCCCAGCACTCGAGAGGCAGAGGCAGGCGGATCTCTGTGAGTTTGAGGCCAGCCTGGTCTACAAGAGCTAGTTCCAGGACAGGCTCCAAAACAAAACAAAAAAAAAGGACCTGTTCAGAGCAAGGGTTACAAAGATCAAGCTGGGGCAGCATAGGGACTCCTATGGAGGAATGGGACTGGAGACAGAAACCCATCAAAATGAAGTGAAGGGGCACTTAAGTTGTGGGGAACAGTACCATCTTTGAAGATCCTTAGCAGGACAGAGCTACAGAGAAACCCTGTCTTGAAAAACCAAAAAAGAAAGAAAACAAACAGGCAAATAAACAAAATATACAAGCAAACAGAAGTACATACACACAGAGAGACACAAAAAGATACCTGAAGTTGACTTAGAATTTGCTAAGAAGATGAGGGTGATCTTAAATTTGCTTTGATACTCCTGCCTCTGCCTCTCAAGTGTTGGGAATAGAGATATGCACCACCACACCCAGGCTTTTTTTTTAAAGATTTGTTTATTTTATTCTATGTGTATGAGTGTTTTTGCTTGAATGTATGTATGTATACCATGTGTGTGTTTGATGTCATTGGAGGTTTTTCAAAGAGGGACTTTAAAGGATCAAGTATGTTTCATTGCTTTAGGTTTATTTACCTGACAAGTTCCTATTTATACTGTCTTTATTCCATTATCTCTGATCCTGGTAGTTAAGATGCTTTTCTCTTTTGTGTTTCCTATCCTAAGTACAGGACAGGCTTAGAAATATCACCTGATTAGTGTTCTATTTACTTGTAGCTTTCTCTCACCCATGTTCAGGCATTCAGAATAGCTTATCTTCATTTTAATATTCATTTGAGCTGACTCATTAGACCTGCATGCAAGCCTGAGGACTTGAGTTCAGTCCCTGGGACCCACATAGTGAACGAAGAGAACCAGTTCCGGTTCTCCCACTAGTTGGCCTCTGACCTCTACACTTACTAGTTCTGAGAACAGCAGCCTGAGTCACCATGCCCTGCCCTTTAAGAAAATTTTTAAATGCAACAACTCATGAAAATGCCTGTCAGTGGGTTTAACCATTAATAATAATCTATTGTGTCATTGCAAAATTAAAGTGAAAGCCACTTTGTTCCTTGTGATTGAAAGGCCTTTTTGAGGCAGAGTTTCTCTGTGTATCCTTGGATGTTCTAAAACTGTCTCTGTAGACTGGGCTGGCCTCCACAGAAATACGGCTGCCTCTGTCTCTTGAGTGCTGGGATTAAAGGTGTGTGCCACCACTGCTGGGTGGAAAGGCTTTTTAATGTTGAAGTGTAATTCACATACTATTAAAATTCATGATGCTTTAAAAATGGAATGTATTGGAGTGAGGATGTGGCACAGTAAGAGGGCTTGCCTAACATGCATGAGGCTCTAGGTTTAAGCCCTAGTAATGGAAAAAGCATCCACATTGTAGCTTTTGCATATTCAATGAGTCCAGCATTCGCCAAAATTATCTAATTACTAATTATTTTAATTACCTTAAAAGGAAGCTCTTTTCTCATTTCTTCTTTTTGAGACAATGTCTTGCTACATGGCTCACACTAGCCTTAAACTTAAGATCCTCTTGCCTCCACTTCTTGAGTACTAGGTTTACAGGTCTATACCTCCACCTTCTTTCTCCCAGCATTAAATTTAGTTTTCCCTACCTAGATCTATTCTGCTAAGCCACTGACCAAATAGTTTCTTTATTCATTAACCAATAAAAGCAACACATATACAGAAGGACTTTCCATATCCCCTCCCCTTTTCTGTCTAAATAAAAAGGAAGATTTTAATTTTAACATAGTAAAATTACATATAACAAAACAGATATCAAGCAAGAATTAAAGTTAGAACATTTATACCTACTTTATCTTTTATCATAACTAAGGAAAACTATAACTTTAACTATCTATTCCTCAACTCCATGAAAGACTCCAAAAGGATATAATATTACCTAAGTAAACAGGAAGTGTATTGTCAGAAACTTCCAAAACTCTGGAATTGACAGTTCTTCTGTATCTTTGGAGCACGCGTCTTCAGCCTATAGACCCATAGTATCCAGTAGACTTGTCCATGAGCAGGAAATTTCAAAGACAGTTCCGCCTATATTAGCAGTTTGTCAGTCACTTTCTTCTGTGTCCTGCAGAATGTCTGGCCGACTCTTTCCTGAAGCAGGAACCCCGAAGGACTATTTCACCTTCTTTAGGCAATGTCAGCAGTCATTTTTCTATGGGTTCTGCAAGTCAAGTCAAACAGTTCAGACAAGAGCAGTTTCTTGTCCAAATGGCTAACAAACTCCATGAGGAGCCTCTCTGATGCCTATCATTCTCTTAAAGTAGATCGGTGCTGCCAGAAGCAGATGTGTCTCACTGTCATGAAAAGTCCTAAGTTCTTAAAATATTTTAAATGCCATATTCTCTAGTCTTTGAAAGTTTTGAAGAATAATTATCTATGTGAAATATATCTCTGTACATCTAGAAAGCCTAACTAATTGACCTAAAATTTCTATCAATAAACCAAGATCCGTACTAGTGCAAAGTATTGATCTCTATAGCATATCCCCCTTTAAATGTAAAGAAACATTAATAAACAATATTTGGGAATTTGGGCGTAGTTCTCTCCAAACTGATTTCTGCTTTTTGTTGGGCAAAGTAATTTTTCGGGGTGTTCACAGCAACCTTTCGGGGGTGGGTCTTTGTCCATTAAACCACATTAGTCTAGAAGGAATCCACAGGTTCTCATCCTCTGTGGAAATAAAAGTAGAACCTCTTTGCCAAAGCAACATATTCTTAGACCCAATTTTTTTGTTTGTTTGTTGTTTTTTGTTTTTTGAGACAGTGTTTCTCTGTAGCTTTGGAGCCTGTCCTGGAACTAGCTCCTGTAGACCACACAGAGATCCTCCCACCTCTGCCTCCTGAGTGCTGGGATTAAAGGTGTGCAGCACCACTGCCTCTCTAGACCCAAATTTTGAAGTCAAGATACCTTTTAAATATAAATGTTGGTTTAGCTTAGCAGCCCATACAATGAAATGTCTCTTAGTACTTAGCTTTTTCACATTCAAAAAATTTAAAGGCCAGGTGGTGTTGGCACACTCCTTAATCCCAGCACTTGGGAGGCAAGTGGATCTCTGTGAGTTCAAGGCCAGCCTGATCTACAAGAGCTAGTTCCAGAACAGGCTCCAACGCTACAGAGAACCCCTGTCTCAAAAATACCAAAACCAACCAACCAAACAAAAACAAAAAAATTAAAGAAAACACAATAATATACATAATTTAGACTTTCTGTATATCTATTATTTTTATATGGCTCATTTTTCTTTATTCCTTTTATCTATGACTGTCTGTACTCTGTCTCTTTAAAGACTTTGTTTTATTTTTTTAAAAAAACCATTTCTTTTTATAACTCTCTATATCCTTTTTCTTCTTTCTTCCAAGCCTACGTACATTTTTTAAACATACTGTGACCCATTTAGAGGTCTTTTTCAAAATCTGAATTTGTTCTTATTGCATTTGTATCTGTAATTATTTTTTTGACCAGGAGTGGTTTTTTAATGCTAAGTGGGCATGGCTAGGTCCAACTACACAGCAATACACTTATGCAAACAAGATACCCTTACATAGAGAGATAGATGGATAAATAGGGAGGGAGGGAGGGAGAGAGAGAGAGAGAGAAAGCCTAGGTAGAGGCATGTATCTGTGATCCCAGCACTGAGGAGATGGAAACCAGAGAATCCATAGGACTCGATGACTAGCTAGTCTATCTGAATCTGCGAGTTCCAGGTTCATTGACAGGCCCTGTCTCAAAAAGTAAGTGGGGCTGAAGTGACAGCTCAGTGGTTAAGATGACTTAGCAGTGAAGAGTCCTGGCGGTTCTTCCAAAGGACCTGGGTTCCATTCCCAGTACCCACATAGCAGTTCACAACTGTCTGTAACTCCAGTTCTAGGGGATCTGGCATCCTCACGCAGACATAGATGCAGGCAAAACACCATGTACATAAAAAAGTAAGGTAGATGGGGTCAGTGGTTAAGGACGCTTGCTCTTCTTCCAGAGGACCCAGGTTTGATTCCTAGCACCCAATGGCAGTTCACAACATTTTTAAACTCCATTTCCAGGGGGTCCAGTGCCCTATTTTGACCTCAGTGGGCCCTGCAGGCACAGGGTACACAGACACACGTGCAGGCAAAATACCCATATACATAAAATCATCCAATAAAGATAATTTTGAAAAAGTAAGGCGACAGGAAGACAATACCATCAAGCTTTGACTTCCATACAGATGCATACTTTTAGGCACACATGTCTGCACTCATGTGGACACGTACACACACAAAATAATTTGCTTTTTAGTTTGTTTTAGAGAGTTATGACCATAGTAAAGGAACAATTGAGACACTGAAATCCAGTTTAATTTAGAGTGTTTTCCCCCCAGGGAATGCTATAAGCATACGGATATTAAAGTGCATGATTCCAGAAACTCTCATATCAGAAGATTCTGTGGTTAAGGCGGTATCTTGGCTCTGTGTTGGCAAGTGCTCTGGTAATACCAAGGTAATCTTTTAGATACTTTGATGATAAGTCCTTTAGAACCTACTTAACGGCTAGCAAAGAAGAACCACTTATGGAGTAATGGCAGTGGCCCTTTGTACAAGACCTGTGGTTTCAGAACAATGTAGCTTGATACAAGGACCCTGTTCAAATAGAAATTTTTACTAAGAAATAAAAATCTATTATCCTACTTGGTGCTAGTATCTTTTAAACTAGTGCCGAGGAGAGATTAAAGCTCTTCCTCCACAATTAGTTACATTCTCTAAAGACACATTTTCTCTGTCAACAGGTGCTTTTTTATCGTTGGTTGGTCGCGATGTTTGACTTTATTGATCATAAGAAGCAAATTAATTTGCTCTATGGCTTCTTTTTTGCTTCCTTGCAAGATGAAGCACTGGTAAGTAAACACTGAACAGCCTTGCGCTTCAGTCGAATACTATTTTTCTGTATATTGCCATGCCCCTTAATGTGTGTTCCATGCTTATTTCAAGATGTACTAAGAATACAAAAAGTAGAAAGAATTACACAGCAGAGATCTTCGCTGCACTGTCTCACAGATTAACAAATCTGTGGTATTTGCTGTATATTTTCTTTTAAGGAAATAATGGTACAGATAGAGTTTTGTTGATTTAGCTCAGTGATTGCTATTTTCCCTTTTAAACCACGTCAGCAGAGTCCTTTGGGTGACTTACTCTGAATTTTCTTGACATTGCAAAAACTACATCAGAATCCATGAGAAGGAGAACACTATCTTAAAGGTTGCAAATAACTTATTTTTTGATTAAATAGTATAATTATCCCTTTGAAGATATTGGTAATGCCAAGAAATCAACCTATTCACTACCTAGAAAATTTTCAAGGACAATCAGTTTGTAGACCACATAATGTACATACATACCTGACTGAATTCCTCTCACTTTGGGAATAGAATTCATGCATATGAAAATTCATGCTACATCTTGTTTCTTGCCTTGTACTAGGTAGGAATAGGTTTATTTTTATTAAAGATTTATTTTATTTCTACAAATGTTTTGTTCACATATATGTCTTTATTCTGCCTGAAGGCTTGATGCCCATGGAGTTCAGAAGAGTGTGTTGGATCCCCTGGAGCTAGAGTTATAGACAGTTGTGAGCTGCCATATGGGTACTGGGAATTGAACCTGTGTACTCGGCAAGCAACAAGTGGTCTTTTTTTTTTTTTTGGTTTTTCAAGACAGGATTTCACTGTAGCTTTGGAGCCTATCCTGAAACTAGCTCTTGTAGACCAGGCTGGTCTCAAACTCACAGAGATCTGCCTGCCTCTGCCTCCCGAGTGCTGGGATTAAAGGCGTGCACCACCACCGCCCCATCCAAACTTCCTAGGCTAAAAATTTAGCTTTCTATGGTTTAGTAATGTAAAAATGTAGCAAGGGAATTAAAGAAATCACATGAAGGTAACAATTTAAGAGTTGAATTATGAAGCTAGAGAGATGGCTCAGTTGCTCTTTCGTGGGAAATGGATTCAATTCCCAACACTTACACAGTAGATCAAAACTGTCTTTAGTTTTGATCTGTTACCAGTTTCAGGGGATCAGGTGCCCTCTTCTGGCCTCTATAGGCACTGCACACATGTTCTGTCTAGACACACAATGTAGTCAGAACACAGTACACATTTAAAAAAAAAAGTTCAGGCCAGGTGGTGGTGGCGCACGCTTTAAATAAACAAACCCTTTCTTCTCTAAGTTGCCTTAATCGTGGTGTCTTATCAAAACAACAGAAAATAAGACAGCCAACAAAATCACGTTTCAAAAATACTCAGAACTTGCAAGATAATGCATATAACTCATTGATTTTTTTTTGTGTAGGCATAGGTAAATGCATTTATCAGCATAGTCAGTTTTAGAACATGTTCATTACTTTTTTGTAAAAATTAAAGGAACCATGTAGTATGTGGTCTTTTAGAACTAGCTTGTTTTATTTTGAATTTTGTTAAGATTTATTTGATCATTTTTACTTATGTGCATGTCATTGTGAATGAATACTATGTATTGTGGGAGCCCTCAAAGGCCAGATTAGGGTGTTGTGTCTCCTGGGGATACAATTATGGAAAGTGTGAGCTACTTGATATGGGTCCTTGGAAGAGCAAGGAGTGCATTTAACCACTGAGCCATTTCTCCTGCCTCCTTTTAAATGAAGTATTTTCTCTTATTGCTTTAAGACACAGATTTTTTTTAATGTGTGTGTATCCACATGTCGAGGCACATGTGTGGAAATCAGAGGACAGCTTGAGGGGGTTGATTGACCATTTCCACCATGTGGCTCCTGGGGACTGTACTCTTCTTGTTAGTCTGGGCAGCAGGTACCTTTACGTGCTGAGCCATTTTCTGCCCCTTACATTTTATTTATTTTGTGTGTATATGATATGTAGGTGTGCATTCCACAACAATGTGTGTGGAGGTTGGAGGACAACTTTCTGGAGTTAGTTAAGTTACTCTTTCTATCATGTGAGTTAAGTATATTGAACCCAGGGCATCAGACTTGGCAACAGCAAACTTTACCTGCTGAGCTATTTTGCTTGATCATGGCTGGCTTTTTAAAATGAGAGCAATGTTTCTATGATTTTTTTAAAAAGGTTTATTTAATTAAGTGTATGAGCATTTTGTCTGCATGTATGTATATGTATCATATGCGCCTAGGGCCCTTGGAGGTCAGAAGAGGGCCTTGGGTCTCCTGGTACTGGACTTACAGTTTTGAGCTGCCACGTGGGTGGTAGGAACCAAACTCAGGTCCTCTGCAAGAACAGCAAGCATTCTTAATCACTGAGATGACTTTCCAGCCCCTCTAGGTTTTTTCCCTAAGTGACTACATTTGTGTAAATATGACCCAGCTCAACAAACATGGAGAAAGGCTCTAAAGTTTTTTTCTTTTCTTGAAAAATTTTTAAAAATTATGCTGTGTTTATAATGCATTTGTGTGAGTTTGGGTGTGTACCCACCGTGGTGGGCACTGAATGCCAGAGAACAGCTTTGAGGACTTGGTTCTCTCCTTCCACTGTGGGTTCCAGGGATCAAACTCAGGTCATCAGGCTTAAGCAGCAAATGCTTTTAACCTGCTGAGTCCTCTCTGACCTCATTTTCTGTTATTTTTTCGCTTGTTTGAGACAGTATCCTGCATAGTCCAGGAGAGCCTTGAATTTGCTATATTTCTGCCTTCTCAGTGCTGGGATTATAGATGTGAGTCATCATGGATAGCAGCAGGATTTAGCATTTAAAAGAAATAGTTTTAAAAAGTCATTTCCATTGAGTTTGATAGGATTCTGACGCTGTGGTGACTCAGACGTGGCAGTTAAATATTTGCCATCAAGGCAACTCCGATGGTGACTGCATATGGAGTTTTTCTTTCTAGATGTGATTAAAGGAGAATGTCAGATTCACTGTGATACTGGCTGGAGCCTGAGGCCAGCCATTGTGTGGCGCTCATTTTGTATTCAACATGATGAATAGTGTTGCTAATGGTTCATATCCTAGGGGTGGGAGGTAATGAATTTGTACCAAAATCTAATTTTTTCTTCTTCTTATAATTACACTTGGAGTCTATCTCAATCCATTTCTAAGTGCAGAAAAAGCAGTATAGAATATGTTATACTTCAGATTATAGGGCAACGACTACTAATATGTCAATTTTTAAAAGAATATCATTTAAAAATTTCATGTATGATTTGTATGTGTGTGTGTGTGTGTGCCCATGCATGCATGTGCGTGGCTGTGATTCTTATGTGCAGGTGTGGTTGTGCACTTACCACTGTGAACAGGCCAAGATCGGCGGTCTGGAGATTGGTTCTTTCCTTCCACTGTTAGGTCTAGGGATTAATCTCAAGCCATCAGATTTGCACAGCATGAGCTTTTATCTGCTGGGCCTTTTTTCAGCTCTGTTCCTTCTCTGTTTCCATTAAATAGTTGACTTTTTCTTTTTTGAGACAGGGATCTCACTATGCAGCTCTGGCTATCGTGGAACTCACTTTGTAGGCCAGGCTGGCCTTGAACTCACAGAGATCTACCTGCCTCTGTCTCCCAGGTGCTGGGGTTAAAGTCATAAACCACCATACCCGGCTATAATTGATTTTTTCACTTTTGGTTATTGAGAGCAAGTGTTGACAAACTTTCCTTAAAGGCCCAGAAGTAAATGTTTTACATATGACGGCCATACTATCCCATTTACAACTAGTGTAGTTTCAAACTAGCTGTGGACAAGACATAAGTGAATGGGAATGGCATACACCCATGCATCCGCCCGTCTGTCTGTCTGTCCGTCCGTCCGTCCATCCATCCATCCATCCATCCATCCATCCATCCATCCAAGCTAAGGTCTCATGTATCGTCTATGCACTATGTAGCTGAAAAAGGTCTTAAACTTCTGATCCTCCTGTTTCTACTACCAGAGTGCTGGGATTACAGGTCTAGACCACCAAATCTGTATTTAAAACCAGGACTTTGTGCATGCTAGGCAAACTCCTTACCAAGTGAACTACATCTTGAGCAGATGAACACTAAAAATGAAGATTAGTCTCAATAATTTAGTAAAAAATGTATTGAGTGGGTCCTATTTGCCAGACTGTAGACCAAGTTATTACATAAATTATGGTCTGTTTGGCAGGATTTATAACACAGAGATGGAGCTTTTACTCAACATGTGCAGAGCCCTGTGCATAAATATGCATTATATCTAACAATGGAAAATGAGGCATCACTGAAAATGATATTTTGAATAATAAACAACAGAATAAAATACTTTAAAGTGGGGAACCAGGATAAACATTATGTATTTGTGTGTATCTGGTTGTATATATGTGCACTGTGTGCATACAGGAGCCCAAGGAAGTTAGAGTGGGCATTGGATGCTTTGGAATTGGAGTGACAGATGATTGAGAGCTGCTTTGTTGTGTGCTGGGAATCAAACTGGGGTCCTTTGGAAGGACAAATATTTGGGAGGGTGGGGGGAATGGGAGGGAAATGGGAGGTGGAAATTTTTAATAAATAAATAAAAATTAAAAAAAGAACCAGTTTTCTAACACGCACACACACAAAAGAACAAATGTTCTTAGCCCCTGAACCATCACTCCAGCCCCAAGGATAAAAGCTTTAAGTTTGTATCTTAGTAAATATGAACTAGTATTGAAAGAAACACATAATTTAGTTTTGGAAGTTTTTGTTATATATGTTCATTGTACATGGTGCTTGCTGTATTACATAAGGACATTTTCATACAAGTGTGTATTACATAGTGAGCATGCTCCCCCATACTTTCCTACCTTGCCTGTTTCTTACCCTCCTCCTCATTAATCAATTCCCATTGTTCCCCTAGACATTTTTGCTTTACTTTCAAGTCATATATATGTACATGATTTTATGTATCTGTAAAAATTTATGATCCACATATGAGAGCAATTGGAAGATTCATTTCTGAAACTAGCTTAATTCTCTCAGTATGGTAATCTTCTAGTCCATCCCTTTTCCTGCAAGTAACATGTTTTCATTTTCCTTTATGACTAAACAATCCCATTGTGTATAAATACCACATTTTCTTTTTCTAAGGAAATTTTTGTTAAAATTTTGTTCAAACTTGTCCTATTGTTTTTATATTTTAAAACAAAAATATTGGACTGGAGGGATGACTCAGCAGTTAAGAGTATTTGTTGCTCTTGTGGAGGACTTGGATTTAGTTCCTAACACCTACATGATGGCTCACAGCTATCTGTAACTCTAGTTTCAGAAGATCCAGCGCCCTCTTCTGGCCTCCGTGGGTGCCAGGTGGGCATGTGGTGCACATCTATACACCCAGCTAAGCAGTCTTACATGCTAAAAGTAGATCTTCAAAAAGTTAAATAAAAGGCAAAACAAAAAAATTTCCACTCATCTTGTTGCCAGTTGAAGCTATTTTCTAAAAAATCACTGTCACATACAGGTTAAGCATGCCTAGTCTGAGAATCTGAAATTGAAAGCATTCAGCAATTTAAATCTGGCCTCCAGGATTTAAATTACTGCATGTATGTGCATGTACTTGTACACATGTGGGCATATACCTCACAAAGAGAAAAAGTAGAAAATTCCTTGCTTCATGCAACAAGCCACAGTTAAAATAGACACATTAAAGTCAATGTGTAAATTTCCCTTCAAGCTGTCCGTATAGTGTGTATATAAATCACTGGTGAATTTTATGTTAGGTATCTTTTTTTAAAATGTTTTCCCCCCGAGACAAGGTTTCTTTGTGTAACTGTGGAGCCTGTCCTGTAACTCATTCTGTTGACCAGGCTGGCCTCGAACTCACAGAGATCCGCCTGCCTCTGCTTCCCAAGTACTGGGATTAAAGGTTTGTACTACCACAATCCAGCTTGTTGGGTATCATCCTTTAGCTTTTTTTTTTTTTTTTTTTTTTTTTTTTTTTTTTTTTTTGTTTTTTAGAGACAGGGTTTCTCTGTGGTTTTGGAGCCTGTCCTGGAACTAGCTCTTGTAGACCAGGCTGGTCTCGAACTCACAGAGATCCGCCTGCCTCTGCCTCCCGAGTGCTGGGTATCCTTTAGCTTTTTCATTAAATACATGGAAATATCTCAGTGTATAGTCACTTCTGGTGTCAAGGATTTTTTGATAAAGAATGCTCAGCCTATTGTGTAATAAGAGAATGCTTTGTAAAGCTATTGTTCAGTATAGCCCTAAAGTTGTTTTACTTAGGATATGATTGACATTTGAGGAGGACATGGTGTTATTTTGTTCAAATAACATTGAATATATTTTGTTCAAATAATATTGTCATTTTTCTTGTTTTTTTATATTTTAACAGTGCCCCCATGTGTGCCGTTTGTTATATGTACTGACTAAAAAGGAGAATGGTGAGTGTTTCCATTGCAGCCATCTTACTTTTATTCATATCGTCCGCATTTGTTTGGTCCTTTTGAAGCTTAAAAAATTATTGGCATTAGTTAGGTGACAGCATTCATTTTTCTAAAAATTGCTTTTTTTAGTACTTTTATCTAAAACATCTGCATAGTGGCTTAACTAAGGACGTATTTATATTTTTAATGTGTTGTAAAAAGAAATTATATGAATTACATGGTGGTTAAGTATAACTGACTTCTTTTGCTGAGGCAAATGCTTAGAACCTCTTTTTTTCTGTTTTCTAGTCAAACCATTTCGCGTGAGAAAATTGCTTGATCTTCAGGTCAAAATGGTGAGTACAGAAAATACCGTAGAGTATCCAGTTGCACTTTAAGCTAGTATTGAGCTAGGTTTTGGAGGGAGATACAAAGCCAAGTGCACCTTAGCTTGAAAGAACTTACTTTCTGAGAACTTAGTCAACAAAATGGAAACTCACTATCAAAACTGGAGGTATATATCAATGAGTAGAGTACTTGTCTAGCATGCATGAGGTCTTGGTTCAGTCTCCAGTACAATATGTTCATTTTTCACCAAAAGATAAGTTGTTAGCTATACAATAAGTCTACAGTAAAGATGTCTACAATAATATGTATTTTTTTAAAACAATGATATATGTATATATTACATTGTGTGTATGTGTGTGTGTTGCTACAGATTGAACCCACGACTTTACACATGCTAGGCAAGAGCACTACCACTGAGACAATCCCCAGACTCCAAAGTTAGGATGTATATGTGTGTGCACATGTTTACAAGGATATACATGTGTGTGTGAGTGTACAGGGAAGCAGAGGACAGTCTTGGGTGTCATTCCTCAGGAGCTGTCCCCCACTTTATCTGTCTATCTACTGTGTGTATGAGTCTTTCTCACTCTGTGTATATGTGTGGATACGCATGTGCCATGGTGTGCTTATGGACATCAGAGGACAAAGTTGGTTTTCTCCTTCCATCATTCAGGTCTAAGGGAGTGAACTCATGTCATCAGGATTGGCTACAGTCGTGTTTACATGTTGAGCCATTTTATCAGTCCCTGTCCATCTTTTTTTTTAAGATGGGACCTCTCACTAGTCTGCAGCTTGCCAGGTAGGCTAGGCAAGTGAATGACTGGCAAAGAAAGGCCAGGATGCACCTGTCTCTGCCTCTCTAACACTGGGATTACAAATATATACCGCCACACATGACTTCTTAAAACTGGGTTCTGGGGATGGAACTTAGGCATGTACTTTGTTGACAGCTGTTTGCTCAGTTCGGAAGTTAGTACTTTGGGAGACTTTGGTTGTGTCAAGCTTCTTGACTATTGTATACCACTAGAGAGGGCAGCTGTGAAGATTGAGTGGTCAGTCAACAACAGCAATTATATCAAGTGGCTTACAGTGAATATCACAAGCTTCGTTGGCCTTCTTAATGAATTTTGCAGGGTTTATGATGATCAAGTGTTCCTGTTAAATTAACATCTCCTCTGCTCTGTTTTCTTGACTTTCACACTTGGTTTTATCTCCTTGATATTTAATTCAAAGATGAGTATGCTTTATTTATTTACTTGTTTTCTTTTGTTTTTTTTTTGAGACAGTTTTCTTTTCTGTTTTGAGATACTGTCTCACTGTGTAGCCCTGGCAGTCCTAGAACTTGCTGTGTAGCCCATGCTGGCCTCAAACTCAGAGAGATTTACCTTCCTCTGCTTCCCCTTCCAGAGTACTGGAACTAAAGGCATATGCCACCACACCCAGTTTGCTTTATTTTATTTTTATATTTTTTTAGATTTATTTATTTATTATATATGCAGTGTTCTGTCTGTCTGTATGCTTGCAGTCCTGAAGAGGATACCAGATCTCATTATAGATGGTTTTGATCCACCATGTGGTTGCTGGGAATTAAACTCAGGACCTCAGGAAGAGCAGTCAGTGCTCTTAGCCTCTGAACCATCTCTCTAGCCCTTTTTTTTAATTTTTTAAAGATTTATTTGTTTTATATGTATGGGTATTTTGCCTGCATGTATATATGTGCATCACATGTGTAGAGGGCTGGAATGGTCCAGAATAAGGTGTCAGAACTCATGGAAGTAGAGTTACAGATACTGTGAGCTGCCATGTAGGTGCTGCAAATGGAACCTGGGTCCTTTGTAAGAGTGTCAGATGATTTTAACAGTGTCTTAGTTAGGGTTTCTATTGCTATAGCTAAAAACACCTTGGGGAGGAAAGGGTTTATTTCATCTTGCTTAGCCTATTTTCTTTCTTTTTTAAAAAAATTACATATTTTCTTTTTATTTACTTTTAAGAAGAAAACAATCTTTTTCATTTTACATACCAATCTCATTCCCACTCCCTCCCCTCATCCTTCTCTCTCTACCTAACCCCCCCCCCCCCCACATTGCTTTGGGGAAGGTCCAAGGCCCTCTCCACCATATCTAGGCTGATCAAGGTATCCATCCAAAGAGAATGGGTTCCACAAAAGCCAGTATAAGCAGTAGGAATAAATCCTGGTCTCACTGCCAATGGTCCTGCAGCCTGCCTCAGCCATACAACTGTCACCCATATTCAGAGGGTCTAGTTGGACCTATGCTGCTTCCTTCCCTGTCTGAGCTCCCATTAGCTCAGGTAAACTGTTTCAGTGGGTTTATATATCATGGTCTTGACCTCTTTGCTTATATTCTCACTCCTCCCACTCTTCAACTGAACTTTGGGAGCTTAGTCCAGTGCTCTGATGCAGGTCTCTGCCTCTCTCCAGGGGTGGCCCCACTTATAGTGGGCTGGGCCCTTGAATATCAATCATCAGTCAAGAAAATGCTCTCCAGATTGGCCTACAGGACAATCCTATGGAGGCATTTTCTCAATAAATATTCTTTCTTTCCAAATGACCCCCCCCCCCCCTTGTATCATGCTAACATAAAAACTAGCCAGCACAGACAGTTTCTCACTTTTATCCCTTGCTGGCCTGGCACTGTCTACGTAGACAAGACTGGTCCTGAGCTCATATAGAGGTCCGTTTCTTTCTACTTCTGCTTCCTGGTTGTTGGGATTGAAGGTGTGTGCCACCACATCCAGATGGTTACTTATTTCTATACTTTTTATAGCTTCTTATTTTTCTGTCAGATTATAAAATTAGAGTCTAAAGGTTTGGACTTAGCTTTTATAGCTTTTTGTTTAGTATTAGCTCTTAATTTGTATTTGGCCACTGAATTGAAAATGGAAAATTGTTACTTTATTTCAGGGCCTGCAGCCTCATCTCCAGGCTTTGTTGTCACTATATAAGACCTTTGCTCCTACTTTGATTTCTGTATCGTTGCCTATGAGGAGGAAGGTAAGGGATTACTGAGAGATAAGTCCTACTGAGATCGAATACATTTTTATTTACTTTGTTTTGTTTGAGAAAGAGTTGTATGTAGTGGCATTTCATTTGCATTTTAGTAAACAACACTTGCCTGAGGATCAGAAAGTAAAACAGCCCAAGTGGTCAGCCTTACAGACCAGGCAGTAGTAACACACACCTTTAATCCCAGTAGCCACAGTAGTTGTTGCCATAGAAACCGGGCAGTGCATACCTTTAATCCCATCAATGCACACCTTTAATCCAAGCCCTAGAGAAGACTTTAAGACCAAAGGAGACAGCTCACAGGTTCAGTCTCATTTTGAGATTCCTGGAGGCAGGATCATCATTTTCGGACTGAGGTAGAGGTAAGAGCCAGTTTTTATTAATTGTGCTTCATTGGTATGGTTGCTCAGACTAGCCTTAACTCTTCTTCCTTCCTTGGCTTCCCAAACGTCAGGATTACAGGTGTATACCACAACCCCTAAAAAAATTCATTATTTTTCCATAAAGTTAATTTAAAGATTTGGGCTAAAATCTTTCCCAACTCTTTTGGGAGAAGTCATATTAGAGATTACCCTTTCATAGTGTTGATCCCTTTGATGCATTATAGTAGATTTCTGATTAGGAAAGGATAAAAGCATTAAATGGATTTATAAGAATATAAATATTTCATAATTAATATGCAACCAGTTAATACTTTGGTACTCTTATTATGTTGCTTTTACTCGTAAGTACCTAATCTTCTGTACTTTATACCTAAATCTGTAGATCTATTTTAATAATTCAAAGAACCTATGGACTTCAGCTCTGGTTGCTGTGAAGCTAAGAAACCAGCGAGCTTTTCCAGAACCTCCAAAGCTGACGTTAGGTCCAACTAAGAGCTGTTCTCTAAAAAGAGTAAGTAATCTAAAGCAACAAAGGACTGTAGTTTTAAAAATAGTAGCCATTCAGATGGTGGTGGTCATAGGTATTTTATGCATTTTATTTTATTTATTTATTTTTTTTGGTTTTTCGAGACAGGGTTTCTCTGTGGCTTTGGAGCCTGTCCTGGAACTAGCTCTTGTAGACCAGGCTGGTCTCGAACTCACAGAGATCCGCCTGCCTCTGCCTCCCGAGTGCTGGGATTAAAGGCGTGCGCCACCACCGCCCGGCTTATGTATTTTATTTTATGTGCATTGGTGTGAGGGTATCAGATTCTCTGGAACTGATTTATAGACAGGTTTGAGCTGCCATGTGGGTGATGGGAATTGAACCTGGGTCCTCAGAAAGGGCAGCCAGTACTCTTAACCACTGAGCTATCTCTCCAGCCCTGATCATAGGTATTTAAATAGATGTTGATAATCTAGTATTCTATGTAAACCACATTCATACTTCCATTAAGTGAAACAGCTTAATAACTGATTTTATTTATTTATTTTTGAGATTGTAGCTTTCTAAAATATAGCCTCAGATGACCCAAAACTTGCTATGTAGATTTGGCTTGGCCTCTGTCTCTGAGTACTGGGATTAAAAAAGTATATCACCATATCTGACTTGCTTTAATTTTTTTAGATTGTCTTTTTAGTGCACTGACAGATTATTGTATTATCTTTCTTCTTTAGAAATGGAGTTCTCTCTCCGTTATACCAGCACTCAATTCTGCTAACAAAGACTGTGGGGAAAAGATGTGGAGTCTCTCTGATTATTTCAGCAGCAGTAGGTCATTTCCATTAGAAGAGCTTCAAAGTTTCCCTCACCTTTTACAGAACATTCATTGCTTAGAGGTATGTGACTGGAGCAGGGACTGACTCGAATTTTCTGTGTGTTCTGGATAGCCTCTGTTTTCAGTACTTGAGTTTGGACTCAGCCTCACACATGTTGAGAAATCCTATACACTAAACCTTATCTCAGGCACCATATCCTCTATTTTTGTTGTATGTTTCCTATTTAATGTTTTGCTTATTGTTGGGACCTACATTTCATATACTTATTGTTGATTGTTCCATTTTACAGCTGCCTTCGCAGATGAGTTCCGTGCTAAACAACTCTCTGCTGCTTCACTATATTAATTGTGTCAAAGATGAGTCAATCTTACTGAGGCTCTATTATTGGTTGAGTCAAGCATTGCAAGAAGGTAAGAATTGATGGTGTAAACTACTGTTTAAATGGGAGTGGAAAAAGATAGTTTGTAGATACATTTCTTATTCTAGAGCTGGAGCGATGGCTCAGAGGTTAAGAGCACTGGTTCCTCTTCCAGAGGCCCTGAGTTCAATTCCCAGCACCCACATGGTGACTAACAACCATCTGTAACGAGATCAGGTGCCCTCTTCTGGACTGCAGGCATACATACTAAATAAATAAATCTTTAAGAAAAATAATTTCTTATTTAAGATTAGAAATTCTAGGCCAGAGATTATATGCTATAGTCATCTGGTACAATATGTTGAACATGAACATGGTGTTGTCATTTTAAGACATTCAAAAGGGAGTGGTATTAGGTGAACACTGCTTAATGATCATCAAAACTTACCAGATGGCTGGCCTCAATCTCAGAGTTCTTTGTATTCCTGGGAGTGTGCAAGAACCATTAATAGTAAACCAACTCAGAGAAAATCAATTTATAAGACAGGATATCAGCTTATTATTTTATAATAGAAGTGATTCTTTCTGTTAACCAAAATACTCATGTGTGCCAAGTAGATTACCTCCTCTAATGGCACATCGGTCGTTAGAAAATTTTTTACTCATGGAATTAAAGGAAGTGACAGTGGGGAGTCTTTCATGCAGGCCATAGTAAAGCCACTTTATTATCCACAGTGACATTTTCCCTAGTAAGTTCGTTGACTATCAAGAGTACTTATTTCGTGGATATGTAATTCCTGACTATTCAAATCTTTGAAGTCAGTTTTAGTCACTATAGGCTATTGCTCCTTTGACATAGAGTATTTCTTTGTGGGATATGTGATGCAGTTAATATGGGATAAGGGTAAGTTCTCACCACTTGTAGTCTATACTCAACTCACCCTACCTATTTTCAGCTGTGCATTTATAGTCCTTTGCGTTACTGTGACTTGAACCTAATCTTATTCATTATAAGTGAACTTTCCCAGTGCTTTTACTATAAACTTTCCCCTGTGTTACTGTTTGTTGACTGTCACTTGCAAATCCCTGTTATAATCTACAATGTCACTTAGGGTAGTCCAATCTTACAACATTTTAATCTGTCTTTTCTTTGTCACTTCAGAGTAGTGATATATTTTGTTTCATTTTTATTGCATAACCAGATGCCAATTTTTAATATTTCTGCTCTAGAATGTGTATGGTATAATATGAATAATTATGAACAAGAAAAAGAATTTGTAAACTTGCTGGACATTGTCATCAGGGTGCAGTGCTTCTTACAAGTAAGATTCCATTTGTTTTCTATAGATGCTATTATTCTTAAGATTTATTTGGATGTCCATTGTAGTATTTTCTTGTAGTTGACGTTTTCAGTTTTAGAGATAGGGTTTCATGTGTCACAGACATGTCCACCACACCTGGTTATTTGCAGTATCGGGAATCAAACTAAGGTCCTTGTGCATACGAGGCAAGCAGCCTACCAACTGAATCATGCCCTAAGCCATTGATTTTTATTTTTACTTATTTATTTTCCTTATTCTTGGCTTTTTCAAAAGATACTATTTGCTCAATTTGAAATTTATAGAACAAAGTTGGAATGATGTTTATTTTTACACTATCATGTTTGAAGAAAGAGTAAGTTTAAAATTTTAAATTAGTAGAAAGTTCTATAATTTTAACAAAATAAATGATTTAATGCATTCAATTAATTGAATTAGCTAGCAATATAAATCTTATAGGGTTGTTTCTTGTGTTCTTTTTTGGGAGCCTTGTGCATACTGTGTGAACACTTAGTTACCACTGATCCACATCCTCAGCCCATGACTTGTGTTCTTTTTAATTACTTAATCCTTTGACAGGGCCTCATTAACCCAGGCTGGCCATAAAATTAGTATGTAGCTGAAAATAACTTCGAACTCCTAATTAGATCTTCCTACCTCTACCCCTTGAATGCTGGGATTACGGCTGTGCATGACCACACCCAGTTTAGGTGGTTCTGGAATTAAGCAAGCACTCAACTGAGCTCCAGCTCCAGCACATGACTTATGTGTTTAATAGCTATGAATAGCTATGAATCTTTTGGAGTTTGAGATGTATTTCAGCATCTGAATCATTTGTCCTAGGTATCTCTGAGTTGTAGCTGAAGCTAGAACTCTTGAATTGTCTCTGTCTGTTGCTCTCATGCCTCTGAAACAGCTATAGCACAAAATAGAGTGGTTGTTAGAGAGTATTTCTGATTTTTAGTTTGAGACACAGTTTCTCTATGGAGTCCTTGGCTGGACTAACAAATGGCTGTTTTAGGTTTTTGTTATTGTTTGTTTGTTTTTGCTTATTCAAGACAGGATTTCTCTGTGTAACAGCCTGGCTGTTTTAGAACTTGCTTTGTAGACCAGGCTGGCCTCAAACTCACAAAAAAATATTTTTCGTTTGTTTTTGAGTCAGGGTTTTTCTGTGCAGCCCTGCTGTCCTGGAACCAGGGTGGCCTTGAACTCAGAGATCTGCCTGTCTCTGCCTCCGAAGTATTGGATTAAAGGCATACGTTGCCATTATCTAGCTTAGAGTATTCATGATTCTGTATGAGATTTTGCAATCACCTTGTGTTTCAGGAGGGGTTTTACTCCTGTGAAGCGTTCCTGTATAAGAGCCTGCCTCTCTGGGATGGCTTCTCCTGTCAGTCACAGTTCCTTCAGCTTCTGACCTGGGTTCCATTCAGTAGCTTCTCTGGTATGTATTATGAAAAGTTATTAGTTATTTTTCTTTTGCTGTGATTAAACACCATGACTAAGGCAACTTAGAAAGAGTTTATTTTGGCTTATGGTTCCAGAGGGTTAGAATCCATGACAGTAGAGCAAAGGCATAGAGGTGGGGCCAGGAATCGAAAGGCTTGCATCTTAAACCACAAGCACGAAGCAGGGTGGACTGAGAATGGTGCTTGGCATTGAAACCTTAAAGCCCATCTCCAGTGACATACTTCCTTCAGCAAGGCCAAGATTCCTAAACCTACTTGAATAGTGCCACCAACTGGGGACCAAGTTTTGAAACGTCTGAGCTTAAGTGGTTCTCATTTAAACTACAACTTGAACTCGTTTAATTCAATGTGATATAAATTAAAACTATTTTGAATACTCTCATTTTCTATTTCCTAGAGATGAAGCCACTTCTTTTTAATCATCTAGCACCTCTCTTCTTTTCATCAACAATTTATTTCAAGGTAAAAATCCAAAAACAAACAAAAGAACCCTAAATAAATCTTACTTATACTGAAGAAAAAGCATACTTCTATTAACTGGTGTTAAATAATTCGAAACTGGAATTTTGGCAGTAAATTTCTTTCTTCTTCTCTTTTGAAATGTTGTAACATTTAGAGTGTATGTGTGTGTGCGTGCATGTGTGTGTTACTGTGTATACGCCACAATACATGTGCCATCAAATGGAAATTTGGCGGTCAACTTGTGGTTTTCTCCACATGTGTTCTGGGCCTAGAACTGAGGTTGTCAGGCTAGGCAGCAAGTTCCTTTACACCCATTGAGTCATTTTACCTGCCTACCTTTTTTTTTCTCTCCTACCTACCTTCCTTCCTTCCTTCCTTCCTTCCTTCCTTCCTTCCTTCCTTCCTTCCTCCTTCTTTCCTTCCACTTTTCTTTTCCCTTCCCTTCCATTTCCTTTCCCTACCCCTCCTCCTTCTCCCTCCCCTCCCCTCCTTCCCTTCCCTTCCCCTTCCCTTTCCCTTCCCTTCCTTTCCTTTTCTCTTTTTTTTTCTTTTCTTATGTAGCCCGGTCTGGGTCAAACCCAATAAACCTTCTGTGTAGGTATGGATGTCTTTGAACTTCTGCTTCTCCTGTCCCCCCCTCCCGAGTGTTGGAATTACACTCATGCAGTGTCATACCCAGTTTCTGAGATGATGGGGTTCAAACCCAGGCTTTCATGCATGCTAGGCAAGCACTCTACCAATTGAAATGCACGTCTAGTCTTCCAGCAACGATTTCCTTCCTTCCTCCCTCCATCCATTCCCATTCTTTCTTTTGATATTAGGGTTTGCTAGTTATTGTAGCCAATGCCTACCTGGAATTTGTTATATAGACAAGGCTGCACAGCAGTTCTCCTGGCCCTTGCTTCCCCAGTGTTGACAGTACAGGTGTGTTTCACCACACTAGCCTCCGCATTCATTTTGTAACTGCACTGTATTATGGAATAGAAAGTTCAAGTGTGTAGAACTTTCTGGTTTGAAAGCTTCATCACACCTTTTTCCTGAATTGTTACACTAGTAAGCAGCAAATGAGATCACAAAAAGCGTGTCAAATGCATATTAACTTGAATGTAAAAACAAACTAACTGGGAAATACTCAACAGTACTTGGAGTACCATTATATTTTTTGTGTGGATTGAATGCATTGTTATTAACTCCGAGCCACTAACAGCGCATCAGTATCACATTAAAGAAATTAATGTCCTTCCCCTTGGGGTCATTTCTCCAAGAGCAAGAATATGATTCTTTGCTGAAATCTTTAACAGAGTTTTACAAGGGTTTAATCCACTGGTTCCAACTAACCCAGACAACAAACAGAACTTCAAATGTCATTCTTTAATCTGTAAGTGTTGTGTTCAACATTTCTGGTGGATAGTCCCTTTAGAGGGTTACTTTCATTCTCTGTATTTGCTGCTTTCAGCAAAAAAGCAAAACAAAAACAGCCACATACATTTTTCTGGGTTGGGGACATGGAAAAGCACATAACTTAAGGTTACAGCTATGTACTAGCTTGGATTGTAAAATCAGATGACACAGGAAGTTCAAGGCAAGTAAGGGTGATTGTTACATTGTTCTCATAAAGACAGGATAAACAAACAGGCTGGATACCCAGTAGGCTAGCAGGTCCTTAAGTTTTAAGTGACCTCAATGTGTGTTCTTAACTCAGACTGTGAGGTCCAGCCAAAGTTCCAGTCTCTAAGAACATAAGGGTGGTTTTATCATAATGCTTTGCCAGATATTTGACCATAATGCTTGTTTATTTCATACATATACTAATTACCCTTTTTTGAGGCTTTCTGGGATGTGGGGATGTGAAGTTGAGACAGGGTCTAACTATGTAGCCCAGTTTTCCCTGGAACTCAGAATGACCTTTTACGTGCATCTGTCTTCTTGCCTCCGCTTTCCAGGCTGTAGGATGCTCTGCTTTAGCTCTTCATCACAACCGTGCGAGTGCAGTAGCAACCAAAGCCAACCAAACACCTGAGCCACTTTCCCATTGAAGTCATTCCTCTGGGAGAGCAGTGACGATAGACTATTTCTCCTACAGACGTTTGACACCTGAAATGACTCACTGTTGGCCACATTTATAGGAAAAATAGGTTGTTCTGGTCAGTGTGTCTCACAATTTGTTTCATATCACTTAATTGCCTATCACATTAACTTGAGTTTGCTCATTTTATTTTACTTGTAACTCACTGCTGTATAACCACTGTCATTCAAATGAAAATCCCAGTTATCCTAGCTAATAAATTTTCAGAGACTATTTTGAAAAAAAAATTGCAATTCTCTCCTAATCGTCTGGTTGAGTTCTTTTTAATTTCTTCACTCATCCCATCAATCTAAAGAGCTGTTGAGTTAGCTTTGAACCGTAGGCACTTGTCATTTTTGTGGGTCAGGGTGGTTGATAATTAGCAGTTGTTCATGATTTAACATTCATTTAGACATACTATTTATGTATGAGAGTAGGGGATGGGGATAAGGAGGGAGAAAAAGAGAAAAGGCAACCGGAGATGAATCAAGAATAGAGAACAGTATTTAACTTTCAGGCTCAAAATGAGACTCAGTGAAGATAAAGAATTCTGAATGAGGCCTGGAAAGACAGGATAAAGTCTGAGAACATAAAGATTAGGAATGTTTGTTTTCCAGAGTTACAGGAGACTCATTTTTAAAACTATCAGCAAGTATCTTGTACTCCAAGACCACAAAGTAAAAGGGGTAGAGAAGTCTTACTTGTAACAACTTCAAATGATCTCTGAGGTGACAATAAGGATGATTTTCTTATGCAGCCCAGGTTGACATCAAACTTGGTATGCAGATAACACTGGTTTTGAACTCCTTTAGCTCCCTAACTCTACTTCCTAAGTGCTGGAATTGTAGATCTGTGCTGCCATGCATGGCCAAGGGTGATGCTTTTTCTTTCTTTTTGCTTTTTTAAGACAGAGTTTCTCTGTGTAGCTTTGGAACCTGTCCTAGAACTTGCTGTAGACCAGGCTGTCCTTGAAATCACAGAGATTCACCTGCTTCTGCCTCCCGAGTGCTGGGATTAAAGGTGTGTGCCACAACTGCCTGGCCAAATGGTGATGGTTTATTTGATGATGTAATGTGTGTTATAGAGGAATGTGATTTAGAGAGCATTGTTCCTGGGCTAAGCTGGAAGTCTTGTTGAGGTATGTTTCTCCTAGAAAAAAAGTGCTAGCACAAATCTGTGTTTGCATTCATCTGCCCTTTGTAGACGGAACACGTGGGAATAGCAACTATTTGACTTCTAGGTGGCTATGGCCATCCAAGGTCCCTTCCATTTCTAGCCTCTGCTGGGTCTAAATACTGTTTGCTTTGGATGATTTTGTTTTGTTTCCCCCTCAGTGTAGTCTTCTTCAAAGCCTGAAAGAACTACTGCAGAACTGGCTCTTGTGGCTTTCGATGGATGCCCACGTGCAACCGGTGACAAGCACTCCTCTGTGAGTTATCCTGTGATCGTCACAGAGATGATCTATATAAAACTGTGCATATAGAATCTAATAGTATGGCGTGAGACTTACTTATTTCATGTACATAATTAGTAGAACTTTTAGTTACTCTTCACATTTCATTCCCACAGTCCTGAAAGAAAAGTAAAATTTCCAAGTTACTATTTTTTACGTAAACCAAAAAGCAACCTTTTTGAATGACTTGGTACTAGGTAATATAGCAATAAAGGCAGGAAAGCTGAAATTACAATATAGCTTTGACTTCCATTTACTTTAATTTACTTTATATAATGCAGTTTTATATGTTGAGCCAATTTTAATGAGAGGTTTTGTTCCTGAGGTGTATTTTGTTTACATACCTTAATTTATTTTGGCTTTGGAGTTAAAAATGAATTTGATTTTTCCATTAAATGTATGCTTTACCCACAAACTGAAAGACTGAATTTTTTTAGGAACTGCATAATCAGGATATTTTGATTCTTTCTGCCTATTTGGATTCTCTTATATCCTGTCAGCCACGTGATTCTTTAGTGTTTACAGAGTTTATACTGCAGGGAGTTGTAAGCATAATGGAAAGGAGAGCTGATAGAGCACCAAGATCGTGCGGGTTACATCTCTGGGTGGACTGGAATGAAGCAGCGTCTTCTGCACATACCAGGACCACCGCACTCAGGAACTCACAGCACCTGTGCTTACCTGCACAGGACCCACATAAGAACAAGCCAGTCAGTATGCTAGCATGGAGCCTCCGCTGCTGAGTAGCTAAGGACAGTCAACTTGTGGGATACATTTTGTTTCTTTAAGAGTATGACTCCTGGTCAACTGACCATGCCCCAGTGAATGACCATGCTACCAGAAGTATGTGAACAGCACAAATGGACAGGAGTTGATGGCTTATTACATTCAAAAAAGAGGACATGGAATTGAAGGAGCATAGGGTGGGAGGAGTTAAGGGGAGGAGATGCTGAATATGATCAAAGTACATTGTATGAAATTCTCGAGGAATAAAATGCTTTTAAAATTATAAATCGAGCCGGGCGGTGGTGGCACACGCCTTTAATCCCAGCACTCGGGAGGCAGAGGCGGGCGGATCTCTGGGAGTTCGAGGCCAGCCTGGTCTACAAGAGCTAGTTCCAGGACAGGCTCCAAAGCTACAGAGAAACCCTGTCTCGAAAAACCAAAATAAATAAATAAGTAAATAAATAAATTTCAAATATAGAAACACACATACACACACACACTCACAAGTACAATGTTGTCAACCCCTAGTATATTACTTTTCTTGTTGCAACAACAAAATTCCTAACAAAAGCAGCTTAAGGGAGGAGGGTTTATGTGGCTCACAGTAGAGAGGGTGCAGTCTGTTATGGTGGGGAAGGCGTGCTTGTGGGAACACGAGGCAGCTGCTCACAGTCTGTCCATATTTAGGAAGCTCAGGAAGCAGAGAACAAGGAATGCTTGCTCTCAAGACTGCAGCCCTAAATGCCACCACCTCTGTTTAGAGTGAGCCTTCCTAGATAATCTCTTACAGACATGTCTAGAGGTTTGTTTCCGTGCTGATTTTAGATCCTGTCAAGTTAAGAATGAAGACTAACCACTGCACCTATGTATCTGTCATCCAGTTTCAACAGTTAGCAACTCAATTTAGCGACTTTTTAAGAACATTTTTTTTTTTAATAAGTGTATGGGTGTGGGCGTGTGTATGTGAGTGCAGGTACCCTTGGAGGCCGAAAGTTTGGATTCCCTGGAGCTAAAGTTTACTGATGATTGTGAACCATCCACTGGGAGCCAAACTTAGGATCCCTGGAAGAGCAGTGTGTTTTCTTAGCTGCTGAATGATGTCTCTACCCCAAACTGCCTTTCACTATTTACTTTTCCTTAGACTATTCTTTAGAGGAACCCAGATACTATGTCACTTGTTAAAGTGGTGCTGTTACAATACCTAAAATCAAGAGTTTTTCAAATGTCGGACTATTATTAATCCATGTGTTTATGTATTACACCCACCTGTACACATGCATGGCAACAGTATGTGGGAAGGTCAGAAGGCGATGCTGTGGAGTTGTTTTGCTCCCTCCACTGTCCATGGGTTCTGAACGTTGAAGTCAGGTTATCAGGCATATATGACAAATGCTTTTTCCTCTTAGCCATCTCTCCAGCCCAACACATATCATTTTCATTTTCTTTTTTCATACAGGGTCTCATGTATCCCAAGTGGCCCTCAAACTTATTGTGCAGATGATACTGGCTTTGAACTACTGATCCTCCCTCAAGTGCTTTCCAAGTGCTAGGCCTGTAGGAGTAGAGCACTGTATTCAGTTTGGGTGGTGCTAGGAATCACTTCCAGTGTTTGTTTGTGTTGGGGGAGCATTGTACCAACCGAGCTACATACCCAGCTCTCCCACATAGCTGTTAACTGCAAATTGAACCAATGTCCAAACATTGAGCTCAGATTTGTTTTCCTTTTTATCCTTAGAGTGGGTTATAGTTTGGGTGGGAGAATGGAGAGTTAGAAATAGGGTAGCCTGGAAAAATTGTGTTTAAATTCCTCCTATTTTTTATAGTGTTTCTCTATATGTTTATGACCACTTTTAAAAGCCAATGGAACATGGAGCATTAGTAGGTAGTGAAGACATCTTTTTTAAAAAGATAGTATTGTACTGTGTAGCCTTGACTGGCCTGGTACACACTTTGTAGATGAGGCTGGCCTCGAACTCACAGAGCTCTGCTTGCCTCTGCCTCCTGAGTGCTGGGATTAAAGATGTGTGCCACCATGCTCAGCTAGTGAAGAAAGATTATGAAGGTCTAATTCTCAATAAGTGTATGGTAGTGTCAATACCACTTGGGAACTTCTCAGATATTAAAGTCGTTAGGCCCTCCTCTTGATTTACTGAGTTAAGCCCTACAGGTGACTCAGTAATTTGTTTTACCACTCCCATAATTCTAGTCAAGCTTTAATTTATGAGCCACAATTATAAAGAAATACTACCAGAACAGTGTTTTTGCTGGTATAACCTTTGGTCAGCTTGCAGTGTATCTCAGAAACCCCTGAAATAAGTACCTTACCGTTTCTGTAAGTCTTTCCACACGTCCTCCTTCTCCTTTTACTTTTGTGTGTTGCTGGGAATGAAACTCACACCTCATACATGCTAAGCATTGCTTTACCACTGAGCTAAATTCTTAGCCCATATTTTTCATAATTGTGTCATAAATTTAGGGAGACCATCTGAAAAGGAACTGTGCTTTTAAAGCAGACAAATGGGCATGTGTCTAGATAACCTTGTCATAATATTTGGAATTAAGTAATATTGCCTGTGTGCCAGTCACTTAGCAGATGCTTGACTAGAGGCCTTACAACCTGAGTCCAAATGCAAGATCCCACAAGATGGCAGGCAAGAATAGACTTCTAAGAGTTACGTTCTGACCTCACATGTGCATTGTGACCTGTATGCCTGTGCATGTGTACACACGCGATAATTGATAAAACAGACACAGCAAAGGTCCAATATAGCTTAGAAGTTTTCAGTAATTCATTCTGGAAAAAATAGTATGTTTTATTTCTATTATATGGCCATTTGCCATGTAAGCTCCCAGAAGAGAGTAAATTGTAGTGATAGATCCTAAGAAGAAAAGGGTAGAAGACTATCCCACTATCATTTTCCCGGGGCATTTCTGGCTGTAGCAATGATTATCAAGAAGGTTATCATTTAACAGGTGGCATCTGGGAGTGCTAAACATACTGCAGGGGTTGGGGTAGGAGTGTGAGGCTGTTCTGAAGCATGGATTGTTTTCTTTAGAATACAGAGATTTCTAAAGAAGTAGTCACCAAGAAGTCTCTTCTGGGACTGAGGATGTAGCTCAGTGGCAGTGCACTTGGCTAGCATGCAGCAGGGCTTGGGTTGTGTATCCAGTACCGCCTTAAAAAGGAAAGGTTTCTGGGAGCAGTCATTGTTTGCAATCATTTGTGACACATTTGGGAAGTCCTGCCAAAACTCAAGTATGCTATGTCAGTTTGCAAGTAAGCAGGTTATTGTCTGCTTTGTTAAATGATCGCTAATATTTCCCTGCTTCTGTCATTGGAAGCATCATGGTAGTGAGTGTGGAAGAGTCAGCATCTCCTAAACTCTGAGACTATATTGTTATCCCAGATTGTGTATTATTATACAGTCTCGTTTTTTCAAGGCTGGTCTGGTCTATGTAGTAGTGAGTTCCAGGACAGCCAGAGCTACATAGTGAAGCCCTATCTGAAAAGAAAAAAAAAAAAAATTAAAGATCAAGAGTAATCACTGTGCTTTTAAATTTATATTTAGCTTTAATTCTTTTGTTATACATTAATCCCAACTGCAGTTTTCCTTCCTTCTACTCCTCCCAGTCCCTTGCCCTATGTCCCCTTTCCCCCAGATCAACAGCTCCTTTGTTTCCCTTCAAAAAAAGGAGCAGGCCTCCTAGGGATAGCCACTGAACATGCCTAACAAGATTCAGTACGACTGGGCACAAAGCCCCTCATATCACAGCTGGATGTGGCAACCCAGTTGGAGGAATACAGTTCCAAGCACACGCAAAAGTGTCAAGAGATACTCCCACTCCCATTGTTGGGAGTCCACAAGAACATCAAGCTACACAACCATAACATATCTGCAGAGGACCTAGCTCAGACCCATACACGGTCCATGTTTGTTGCTTCAGTCTCTGGGAGCCTCTATGAGCCCTGCTCGGTTAACTCTGTGGGCCCTGTTCTAAGTGGTGTACTCGGCCCCTCTGGCTCCTACAATCCTTCCTCTCCCTCTTCTCTGGGGTTCCTGTGTCCACCTTGTGTTTGACTGTGGGTCTCTGCATCTGCTCCTGTTGGTTGCTGAATTACACCCCTCTGATGACAATTGGGCTAGGCACTGATTTATAAGTATAGCGGAATATCATTAGGAATCATTTCATTGCATTTTGTTGCAGTCATATTTGGTTCTACCCTGGGTCTCTGAGCTGTCCAGCCTCTGGTCCCTGGCAATCCATGCAGTGGCAGGCATGTGCTCCCTCTTGTGGCATGGGCCTCAAGTTGGTCCAGTCATGGGTGGTCACTCCCACAAGCTCTGTACCAGCTTTATTGCAGCATATTTTGCAGGCAGGACAGATTGTAGGTTGAAGGCTTTGTGGCTAGGTTGGTGTCCCAGTCCCACTGTTAGGAGCCTTGCCTGTTTATAGCAGATGGCCAGTTCAGGCTTGCTATTCCCCATTACTAGGAGGCTTCACTCGGGTGTTCCCACTTCACTGAGTTTCTACATCTATCCCGAATGCTCCCCAGTTCTAGTTGTCTTTTCCAGTACTCTCTCCCTCCCCTCCAGATCCCTCCTGTTCCCATCCCCATCTACCCTCATTCCACCCACAAAATCTGTTCTATTTCCCCTTCTCAGATCCATGTGTCCCCCTTGAGCCTTCCTTTTTACTTAACCTCTCTGGGTCTGTGGATTGTAGCTTGGTTATCCTTTATTTTACAGATAATCTCCACCTATGATGACATCATACCCTGTTTGTCCTTCTGGGTCTGGGTTATCTCACTCAGGATGATCTTTCTAGTTCATCCATTTGCCTTCAAATTTCATCATGCCATTGTTTTTAACAGCTGAGTAATATTCCATTGTGTATTATGTTTTTTATCCATTCTTTAGGTGAGGGGTTGGTGAATTAACCACAATACTATGGTTGATAACTGTGTGTTGTTTTTTTTAAAGAAAGTGAATTATACATTGGAGAACTGATAGTTTTTTAATTCGCTATCCATCTATTGCTTTATATTGCTTACCTTTAGCTTGGAAACTGAGCACTTTTTCTGGTGTATATCTGACTATTATAATCTCTTATTACAGAGAGACAACTTTGGGTGAATCCATGACCTCTCTGGCTCAGTTGATTGAGTACGTGGGCTGGCTGTCCCTGATGGCATTGCGCTTGGAGAACAATAGTACATTGTTGTTGCACTTTATTTTGGACTTCTTTGAGAAGGTAGTATACAAATTACAGTTATGATAGGTAGTCACTTTATTGGCCTATGGTTTAAATTTCAGATATAATCATGAAGGTAAGTTATGATCTTACTATGTAGTTAAAATCACCATGTTTTGAAATTAATAGTTTATTTTCACCTGAGTGACTTCAATAGAACAAGTGTAGTTTAACATGAGTTACTGACTTTCATATGTTTACTGAGGTTTCTGACCCATCCAGTCCTAGTCCTGCCCAGTTCCTGCAGTTGTTAAGTCCCAGAGAAATCACACAGAAGTCTACACTAATTATAAACTGATTGACCCAGTAGCTCAGGCTTATTAATTAATTCTTATAATTTATATCAGCCCATAATTCTTGCCTGTGTTAGCCACATGGCTTGGTACCTTTTTCAGTGAGGCAGTCACATCTTGTGTCCTCTGTCTGGGTAACAGCTGCAGACTGCGCTTCCCTCTTCCCAGTATTCTTGTTGCCCCGCCTCTACTTCCTGCCTGGTTGCTCCACCTATATTTCCTGCCTGGCTACTGGGCAATCAGCATTTTATTAAAATACAATTGGCAAGGTACAGACCGTTGTCCCACAGCATTCATAGAACAATTGTAGAAAAATATTTGGTTGGTTTTTAGTTCAGATACTATTTTATAATACATTGATTGACCAATTAAAAAACTGGCCCTAGGCAGAAGTCTGTGTCTAGAGTCATTTTGTTGTATAGTCATTTACTGTTTTATAGGATCTAACATGGGTAAATCTATAACTACCACAAAGTACCCATTATAATCTTCCTTTCCCCAGTTTTCTCTATTCATTCACCAACACCTAGTTAGTTTTGTTTGTTTTGAGACAGGTCTCATGTAGCCCAGGGTGGTCATAAATTTGATGTGTAGGCAAGTGTCTTAGGATTTCTATTGCTTTGATAAAACACCATGACTAAACCAACTTGGGGAGCAAATGGTTTATTTCAGTTTGCCTTTCCCAGTCACAGTCTATCATGAAGGGAATTCAGGACAGGAACCTGGAGGCAGGAGCTGATGCAAAGATCATGGAAGATCACTGCTAACTGGCTTGTTCCTCATGACTTGCTCAGCCTGCTTTTTTATGCCATGCAGGATTACCAGCCCAGAGGGGGCACCATTCACAGTGAGCTGGGCCCTCCCACATCAATCATCAACCAAGAACATGCCTCACAGGGTTATCCATAGTGCAGTTTGAAGGAGCCCTTTTCTCAATTGAGGCTTCTTCCCTGTTTCAAATGACTTAAAACTAGCCAGCACATTGAGGATCCTCTAATCCTCTCGTGGAGTTCTGGGATTAAAGACTTATAGTACTATTCCTAGTTTATATTGGTACTGGGTATTGAAACCAGAGCCTTGTTTATACTAGACAAACATTCTGCCTTCTGGCACTAATCTCTGCTCTATGTTATGTATTTGTTTAAAAGAATGTGCTCCGTTGTTTTCCAGGTTGCCAGTTAACTGATTATGATAAATGAATATTTCAGAGATTTAAGGAGACAAAAATGTTCCCTTGCTGTAACATGTTTTTCAAGTTCTAAGATAAAATGAAAAAAATTTAAAGATTTAATTCCTTTTATGTGTATGAGTGCTTTGCCTGCATGTATGCATGTGCACCACATGCATACTTTGTGCCACAGAGGACAGAAGAGGGCATTGGATTACCTGGAACTGGAGTACAGATGGTTGTAGGCCACCATATGGGTGCTGGCTCTTCTGGAAGAACAGACAGTGCTCTTAACTCCTGAGCCATCTCCCCAGCCCCAAGATGATGATGATGATGATAGTAATCGTAATAACTTATATAATAATTATATAAATTATTATTTTGAGACCCGATTTTACTGTGTGTCCTTGGCTGGACTTAAATTCATAGAGAATTAACTACCTCTGCCTCCTGAGTACTGGGATTAAAGACATGCACCGCCTGGCCTAGCTAAATATTTTAATAATGATCTTATAGAAATAATTTTCAGAGTTAAAGTTGATGTTTGATGAGTTGTATTTTAAAAAAAAACTTATAGCTATCCTTTTAATTTAGAAATTAGTCAGGTTCAAATGTAATGATATATTATTGCCTATCTTACATTAATTATTATTTGATTAAACTTCATTGATGTACAGAAAGTAATATATATTGATATTAACATTCTTTCCAAAAGGTGTGTGACATATATGTAAATTATGACCTTCCATTATTGGAGATGTTTCCCCCTGTGATCTTCCATTCTGCACTCCTAAGCCTGGATGCCAGTATCTTGAACCAGCTTTGTTACATTATGTACAGGTACAAGTCTCCCTCTCCCTTTAAATCATTTGATGAATTACTACATCATAATTCTATCTTCATCATTTACTATAATAAAATTAAAATTCCTATCAATTTTCTTCCAGGGTCTATGAAAATGGGAAACTTAGTTTTTGGGAATATGTTCTTCTAATGTGAAGCTCTAATAGTTATGCTGTTATTTTTTTATATTTATTGAGCTCTACATTTTTCTCTGCTCCCCTCCTCCCTGCCTCTCCCTGCTCCCTTTCAGCCTTCCCCCAAGGTCCCCATGCTCCCAGTTTACTCAGCAGATCTTGTCTTTTTCTACTTTCTACTTCCCATGTAGATTACATCTATATAAGTCTCTCTTAGTGTCCACATTGTTGTCTAAGTTCTCTGAGATTGTGGTTTGTAGGCTGGCTTTCTTTGCTTTATGTTTAAAAACCACCTATGAGTGAGTACCTGTGATAATTGTCTTTCTGGGTCTGGGTTACCTCACTCAAAATGATGTTTTCTAGCTCCATCCATTTTCCTGCAAAATTCAAGATGTCGTTATTTACACACTCCATTGTGTAAATAAATATACCACATTTTCCGTATCCATTCTTCGATCGAGGGGCATTTAGGTTGTTTCCAGATTCTGGCTATGACAAAGCTACTATGAGCATAGTTGAGCACATGTCCTCGTGGCACGATTGAGCATCCTTTGGATATATACCCAAAAGTGGTATTGCTGGGTCTTGAGGAAGGTTGTTTCCTAATTTTCTGAGAAATTGCCACACTGACATCCAAAGGGGTTGCACCAGCTTGCATTCCTACCAGCAATGCAGAAGTGTTTCCTTTACCCCACAACCTCTCCAGAATAAGTTGTCATCAGTGTTTTTGATCGTGGCCATTATTGCAGGTGTAAGATGCAATCTCCAAGTTGTTTTGATTTGCATTTCTCTGATGACTAAGGATGTTGAACATTTCTTTAAGTGTCTTTCAGCCATTTTAGATTCCTCTGTTGAGAGTTCTATGTTTAGGACTGAACTTCATTTTTTTTATTGGATTATGTGTTCTTTTGGTGTCCAATTTCTTGAGTTCTTTATATATTTTGGAGATCAGACCTCTGTCTAATGTGGGGTTGTTAAAATCTCCTATCCTGTAGGCTGTCGTTTTGTCTTGTTGACCATGTTCTTTGCTCTACAGAAGCTTTTCAGTTTCAGGAGGTCCCATTTGTTAAGTGTTTCTCTCAGTGTCTGTGCTGGTAGGGTTATATTTAGGAAGTGGTTCCCTGTGCCAGTGCGTTCAAGTGTACTTCCCACTTTCTCTTCTATGAGGTTGAGTGTGGCTGGTTTTATGTTGAGGTCTTTGATCCATTTGGACTTGAGTTTTGTGCATGGTGATAGATATGGGTCTATATTCATTTTTTTTGCGGGGGGTGGTGGTGGTTTGAGACAGGGTTTCTCTGTAGCTTTGGTTCCTGTCCTGGAACTAGCTCTTGTAGACCAGGCTGGCCTCGAACTCACAGAGATCCGCCTGCCTCTGCTCCCGAGTGCTGGGATTAAAGGCGTGCACCCCCACCACCCTGCTATTTTCATTCTTCTACATGTTGCTATCCAGTTATGCCAGTACTACTTGATAAATATGCTTTCTTTTTTTCTATTTTATATTTTTTGCTTCTTTGTCAAAAATCAGGTGTTTGAAGATGTATGGATTGATATCTGCGTCTTCTATTTGGTTCCATTGGTCCTCCTGCCTGTTCTTAAGCCTATACTAGGCTGTTTTCAGTACTGTAGCTCTGCAGTACAGTTTGAAGTCAGGGATTGTGATGCCTCCGGAAGTTCTTTTATTGTACAGGATTATTTTGGCTATCCTGGGTTTTTGCTTTTCCATATGAAGTTGATTACCTTTCTTTCCATGTCTTTGAAGAATTTTGCTCGGATTTTGATGGGCATTGAATTGAATCTGTAGGTTGCTTTTGGTAAGATTGCCATTTTTACTATTTTAATTCTACGTACCCAAAAGCATGGAATATCTTTCTACTTTCTGGTCTTTTCTTCAATTTCTTTCTTCAAAGATTTAAAGTTCTTGCCATACAAGTCTTCCACTTGTTTAATTAGAATTACTCTGAGATATTTTTTGCTATTTGTGGCTATTGTGAAGGATGATGTTTCTCTGATTTCTTTATCAGCCCATTTATCATCTGTGTAAAGGGGGGCTACTGATTTTTTGAGTTAATCTTGTATCCTGCTACATTACTGAAAGTGTTTATGAGTTGTAAAAGTTCCTTGGTAGAATTTTTTGGGTCGGTTATGTAAACTATTATATGATCAGCAAATAGTGAGAGTTTGACTTCTTCTTTTCCAATTTGCATCCCCTTGATCTCCTTTTTTTTTTTGTCTTATTGCGCTAGCTAGGACCTCAAGAACTATATTGAATAGATATGGAGACACAGCCTTGCTCCTGGCTTCTGCTTTTCTAGAGGCTTTTTTCAATTAAGGTTTCTTCCTCGTGGATGACTTTAGCTTGTGTCAAGTTGACATAAAACTCATCTATGAACTTCCCATGCTGCTTCTTCCGAGTCTGCTTCGAAACTCTTTATGTTGTTATTTTCTTATTTTGAGACAGGGTTTCTCTGTGTAACAGCCCTAACTGTCCTCGGACCCACTCTGTAGACCAGGCTGACCTCAAACTCACAGAGATCTACCTCCCTCTGCCTCCCAATTGCTGAGAATAAAGGTGTGTACTACCATTACCTCATTATTTACAAATTTTAATTACTTAATAAATTTAAATTTAATAAAATTAAAATTTTTATTGTAAAAGTTTGCTTATTATTTAAAATTTTTATTGTATTATCCTCATTGTATATAGTGCTGATTTTTCTACAGACATGTTTCTTGTGGCGCATCATGTTCTTTGGCTTATTTCCACCTTTTTCTCCTTTGCTGCTAGTCCACTTCCTTTATCTAGTCTTGCTTCTGCTTACATATCACACTACATATCAAAGATATTTTCTATCTATATAAACTATTGGATCCACAAATGAGGGGAAACATGGTATTTATCTTTCTGAGTCTGGCATATTTCACTTCAAAGTGATTTGAAGATTATAGAGGTGCCTTAAACACTAGAACTGAAGCTGTGCTATTTTTCCCCTCCCCCCGTAGGGCATATGGAATTAAAGTCTTTGCTGTAGATTGGCTTATTATATAGTGGCAGTGTTGTACTCAGCTTTGTTAATTAAAATTTCTGTGTGTTAAAGAACAGTTAATCAGTGGTTGCTATGTGTTGAAGTGTATGTGTTTTCTCTGGTAAACGGGACATTTTCTGGGAGGCAATAGGAACTATTTATTGTCAGTTATGTGACCCTCTAAGCATTATTTCTAACCTTTTGCTCTTTTACTTGTGGACCAAGATTATTTTTAATCCTTAACTTTAGGACCTTTCAGCCTAAGTTTTATCAGTGTTAAAATATATATAAATGAGTTAGATGATAGTTCGCAGATAGAAAAAAAAATGTAGTTGGTTGTTTTACTCTTTGGGGGGCCCCACCACCCAGCTCCCAAATGAATACCCTTGGAGGCTTATTATTACTTATAAATGCCCAGGCTTGGCTTGGCTTGTTTCTGGCCAGCTTTTCTTAACTTAAATTATCCCATCTACCTTTAGCCTCTGGACTTTTTTCTTTTCTTATTTATTTATATTTTGCTTTCACTATTACTCTGTGGCTGGCCCCTGACATCCAATTCTTGTTCTCTTGCTTCTTCTTTTCCTCATTTCTGCTTCTATTTATTTATCTCTGCCTGGTAGCTACACCTATCCTTGCTTCTGCCTTGCTATTGGCCATTCAGCTCTTTAGTAGACCATCAGGTGTTTTAGACAGGCAAAGTAACATAGCTTCACAGAGTTAAACAAATGAAACAAAAAAATGCAACACATCCTTGCATCATTAAAACAAATGTTCCAGAGCATAAACAAACGTAACACACCTTAAGATAATAATTCTACAACAAAAATTACATTTCTAGATTTCTGTACCTTTTAACTTTCTCACATTTATTTGGTATTTTGGTGTGTGTGTGTGTGTGTGTGTGTGTGTGTGTGTGTGTGTGTGTGTGTAAGTAAAACAATACATGTGGAGTCATAGGAGTCAGTTCTGTCCTTCTACCACGTGGGATACAGGCATCAAGGTCGGGTCATCAGGCTTGAGGTCAGGAGTCTTTGCCTGCTCAGTTATCTCACTGGCCTGCTGTACCTTGTTTTACATAAGGAAAATCTGTTCTGTATCAGTGATTGGCTGCTTTCTTTAATAACAAAATACTAAAAGAATGTCCTTCCCTGTTTGTTTATATTTACAGTAAGAGCACACCTGAAATGTCTCGTTCAGTCTTTAAAAACTCATCAGTATTGTGTATTTATGTGTGTGGATGCGCATGTGCCACAGTGCATCTGTGGAGGTCAGAGAACAGCCTTGTATAGGCAGTTCTTTCCTTAGACGTTCTTGTGGGTTCTGGGGATTGAACTCGGGTGGTCAGACTTCATGGCAAGCACTTTCCCCCTGAGCTTTCTTGTCATCCTCCAACTAAATTTAGAGCCTCTTGTTTGTTTGTTTTGCAGTGCTCAGGATTGAATTCAAGGCCTCATGCATGCTACACAAGTGATGTAATACTGAACTCTACCCATAAACCCTAACTTTAAAAATTCTTTGTGGAAAATGTACCATAAAAGTGCAAAATCCTTAATGAGCTAATTAGATATTAGTGCTTTCCACATTTGCATTTGTTTACTTTAAATTGTACTTGTGCATATATGCGTGATTGTGTTGTGTACTTTCAAGAATATTCATGTGGAGGTCAGAGGTCAATATCAGGTGTCTTCCACTATTGCTTTGCATTTTATTTTTTGAGACAGGTTTTCTAACTGAACCATGCACTCACTAACTGCCTACAGTGACTAGTTGAAGAACTCCAGAGACTTGCCTGTGTCCGTTTAGTCCTCCCAACCCCCACAGTGCTAGGGTTAGGGATACATGCAACCAAACCTGGTTTTCTTTCACATGGGTGTTAGAAATCCAGTGTCAGGTACTTGTACTTCTCTAGCAGGTATTTTACCAATAGAACCATCTCCCTGGCCCTAAAATATGTATTTTAAAATTTTCATTTTACATTCCGAAGAATTACATCTAATAACATTTTAAATGCTTTCTTATATTTGATTTTATTATTAGGTATCACGATAATTTGACAGCTGCAAAGAAAAACAGCGTTTTAAAGAAGGTATGAAGGCTGAATCTGTGTCAAATCACCATTTTAATAAATAACTGAGTATAGATATATGGGGCCTGTTAAGAATAAAAAGCAAAGGAATAACAGATGTTAATGACCATTCTATTTCTTTCCCGTTAGGCAAAATCAGAATTCAATCTCAGCAGCAAGATCTGTCAAGAATTTAATTACTATTTGACAGCTATGGTTCGTTGCTTATGGATATCCAAACCATTTGATAAAGGAATGTACATTGATCCCCAAAGCTTAGAAAATTCTGGAGTAACAGAGTATAAATACAGTTTAAATTTAGTCCAGCATCCTTCTCTTTTGAGCTATGCAGCTTCCTTTTTGCTTCAGGTAAGTGTGTTTAAAGTGTCTTTATACTTCCTAGGGTTACACTGACTGTGAAAACAGGAGCTATTATATCTGAATTGCAAGGCATGTTTGGAAGTTTTAGTGCTGACAAAATTTTGGTGATTGTGCTAAGCTTTAAGGAACTTAAATCTCTATTCTCTAAGAGAGCTTGGCCTTGTTGCAGAGACAGAATTGTTAACAAATTGCTGTAATACGGTGCCGAGAGGTGAGGGAAGGTACAATTGTAGGGAAGATAGATGACTAATTCAGTTCTGCTTGAGTTGAAGTGGTGCCAGGAAAGGAAAGGCTTCATAGAGGTAAAAGCTCCTGTCCGTCCCTCCTAAGACTAAAAGTGAAAGCTAGGCACTGGTGCTTAGCTCTTCATCAAGCCTGCTAATTAAATGTATTGATGATGTATGGGCGTGGCAGAAGTGTCTGTGTCATCTTAGATCATGGGCAAGATTACCATTTTCAACCTTATTAGTGACTTGGGGGCCATTCATAAGGTGCGTTTATCAAATGCATCATTGATACAATGTTAAGATTACAAATGTATTGGAAGAATTTGGATTCACAAGTCTCTTTAGATAGAAAATTGAGCTGGGTGGTGGCGCACACCTTTAATCCCAGCACTCAGGAGGCAGGGGCAGGCGGATCTCTGTGAGTTCTAGCCCAACCTGGTCTACAAGAGCTAGTTCCAGGACAGGCTCCAAAAAATACAGAGAAACCCTATCTTGAAAAACGAAAAGAAGAAAAACAAACAAAAAGAACATTGAAAACTCTAACAATGAAAACAGTACAGAGTTAGAGAAATAGTCATTGACTAGATATCTCAAATATACATGTAATGAGCAAAACCCATCCGGATGTTGGCTCTTACAGTTTGTGTAGTTGGAAGGCTGTCAATAAACAAACATGTTCATGGCTGAGGCAGGAAGAGCAAGTGTTCCAAGCTGCCTTTACTCAAAACCAAAACTCCAAACAAAAGCAAACACCAAAACAGGCTTTGTGTAGTGCACATGGGAAGCCAAGCTTAGGGGTCAGGAAAATGTTCGTGAACTCTTTTTTATGTTTGGGTATCAGGGTAACTGTAACCTCGTAAGAAGAGTATGGTAGTGTTACTTCTGCTTTTATTGTGTGGAATAATTTGAGGAGTGTTGGTATTAGCCTTTCTTTGAAATTCTGGTAGAATTCTGTGCTGAAACCATCTGGCCCTGGGCCTTTTTTGGTTTGGAGGCTTTTGATGACTTTCCATTTCTTTATGGGTTATAGATCTATTTAATTTATTTGGTCTTGATTTAATTTTGGCATATGGTACTTATGTGGAAAGTTGTCTGTTTCCTTTAAATTTTCCAATTTTGTGGAACACAGGTTTTTGGAGTGTGGCCTGATGATTTTCTGGATTTTCTCAGTGTCGGTTGTTAGGTCCCCCTTTTAATTTCTGGTTTTGTTTGTTTGGATATTCTCTCTCTGTTAGTTTGGATAAAGGTGTGTCAGTCTTGTTGACTTTCTCAAAGAACCAACCCCTTATTGATTCTTTGTATTGTTTTCTTTATTTCTATTTTATTGATTTCGCCCTCAATTTGATTATTTCCTGCTATCTACTCCTTCTGGGTGAGTTTGCTTCTTTTTGTTCTAGATCTTTCAGGTGTTTTGTTAATTTGCTAGTGTGGGATTTTTCCAACTTTTTCATGCAGGCATTTAATGCTATCAACTTTTCCCTTAGCACTGCTTTCATTGTGTCCCATAAGTTTGGGTATATTGTGTGGTCATTTTCATTGAATTTTAGGAAGTCTTTAACTTCTTTTTTTATTTCTTCTTTGACCCAGTGGTGATTCAGTGAACATGGTTCAATTTCCATTTGTTTGTGGGCTTTCTGAAATTAGTGTTGCTGTTGAATTCTGACTTTAAGCAATGGTGATCCAATAAAATACTTGGGATTATTCCTTTTTTTTTTTTTGTATCTTTGAGGTTTGCTTTGTTGCCGGGTATGTGATCAATTTTAGAGAAGGTTCCATGACGTGCTGAGAAGGTTATATTCTTTTGTGTTTGGATGGAATGTTCTATAGAGGTCTGTTAAGTCCATTTGAGTCATAACATCTGTGAGTTCCCTTGTTTCTCTATTAATTTTCTGTCTGGCAGTCTAGTCCAGTGGTGAGAGTGGGTTGCTGAAGTCTCCCACTATTAGTGTGTGGGGTTTAATGTGTGATTTTAAGCTTTAGAAGTGTTTCTTTTACATATGAGAGTGCCCTTGTATTTGGGGCATAGCTGTTCAGTATTGAGATTTCCTCTTGATGGATTTTGCCTGTGACTAATATGAAATGTCCTTCTTTGTCTCTTTTGATTGATTTTAGTTTGAAATCTATTTTGTTAGATATTCATATAGCTACACCAACATGTTTCTTAGGTCTGTTTGATTGGAAATTTTTTTCAGTCTTTTATTCTGAGGTATTGTCTGTCTTTGAGATCAAGGTGTGTTTCTTGTATGCAACAGAAGGATGGATTCTGTTTTCATATCCAATCTGTTAGTCTGTGTCTTTATAGGCGAATTTAATCCATTTATATTAAGGGATATTGAGGACCAATGATTGCTATTTCCTGTTCTTTTTGGTTTTCTTGGTGTTTGTAGCATTGTGTGTGCGTTTCCTTTCTTTGAAATTTGGTGCTGTAGATCATCTATTATCTGTGTTTTTGTGTTGTATCTGATTTTCTTGGGTTGGCATTTTCTTTTAGTACTTTCTATAGGGCTGAATTTATCGACAGGTATTGTTTAAATCTGTCTGGTTTTGTCATGGAATATTTTGTTTTCTCCATCTATGGTGATTGAAAGTTTTGCTGGGTATTGTTGGGGAATTTTATTTTAATGTGTGTAATTTTTGTTTATACTGTATTTGTTGAACTCTGTGAAGCTGTGTTTCTTTGCCTGTCTAAAACACCCAATGGTCATAATAAGGAGCTAAATGGCCAATAGGCAGGGGCAAGGATAGGCAGGACTGGCAGGCAGAGAGTATAAAGAGGAGAAATTTGGGATGAGAGGGAATGAGGAAGACATCAGGGGCCAGCCACCTAGCTACACCACAGTAAACCAAAAGGTAAGAAGAAAGGTCTACAGAAATGAGAAAGAGAAAAGCCCAGAAGCAAAAGATACTCAGGATAATTTAAGAAAAGTTGACAAGAAACAAGCTATGCTAAGGCCAGGCATTTATAACTAAGAGTAAGCTTCCATGTGTGAGTTTTGGGAGCAAGATGTTGGGCCCCTCAAAAGCCAAGAGAGTAACACATCACACAATAGGGTATGGTAGACTGGCATCCATGGTCTCTAAGTGTCTGTTCAGGACCTCCTGGCTTTGATGGTTTCCTTAAGAAGTCAGGTGTAATTGTAATAGGTCTGCCTTTATATGTTACTTGGCCTTTTCTCTTTACTGCTCTTAATATTCTTTTTTTATTATGTATGTTTAGTGATTTGATTATTATGTGTCAAGGGGACTTTTTTTTCGGTCCAGTCTATCTGGTGTTCTATAAGCTTATCTTCTTGTACTTTATAGGCATGTCTTTCTTTATGTTGGGAAAGTTTTCTTCTGATATTTTAAGATATTTTCTGTACCTTTGAGCTGGAGTTCTCCTTCTATCCCTATTATTTTAAGGTTTGGTCTTTTCATGGTATCCTTGATTTCCTGGATATTTTATGTTAAGAATTTGTTGGATTTAACATTTTCTTTGACCAATGAATCAATCTATTTTCTTTATTGTATCTTCAACTCCTGAGATCCTCTCTTCCATCTCTTGTATTCTGCTGTTTACGCTTGCATTTATGGTTCCTGATCGTTTACCCAAATTTTCCATTTTCAGAATTCCCTTGGTTTTTTCTTTATTGCTTCTCTTTCAGTTTTTAAGTCAAACTGTTTCCTTTACCTTTTTCTTGGTTTTCTTTAATGAATTTGTTGATTTCCAATTTTTTTATCTTTTCCTGCACTTCTTTAAGGGAATTTTTCATTTCCTCTTTAAGAGCTTCAGTCATCTTCATACAGTTATTTTTCAGGTTGTTTTCGTCCACTTCATCTGTGTTGGGAAGTTTAGGTCTTGCTGTTGTAGAACCACTGGTTTCTGACTGGTGTACTTAATTGCTCCTGCAGGTTCAGGTAGAGCAGAGCCTCCGGCGATCACTCCTCAAGGTGCACGTGCGGCCACAGCTCCAGTGGTTGCTCCTCCAGGTGGAGGCCACTCTAGGTGTAGGTGTGTGTGGCTGAGGTTCTGGTGGTCGCTCCAGAAATGGAGTATCTCATATCAAGAATGGCAGTGGATGCTGGCTGGGGCACAGGTGCTCTTTCCCAGAGGAACTTCTACAAAAGCTTCTGGAAGATAGCCTCTGGAAGCCTCTGCTGTCTTTGCTTCCAGCAGTCACTGGCCTCTGATGCTCCCCAGCAGCGGTCACTTGGTCCTCTGACTCTCCCTGGCGGCAGGTCTCTCAGGCCTCTCAACAGTTATTTCTATCATGTGGGTTCTAAGGTTTGAACTTAGCCATCAAGATTTGGGACATACTCTTTTATCCACTGAGTCAGTTTTTGTGGTCCTGTCCTGTTTTGTCAGTGTCTTTTTTTGTTTGTTTGTTTTTTTTTGTTTTGTTTTTCGAGACAGGGTTTCTCTGTTTAACATCCCTAGTTGTCCTGGAACTAGCTCTTATAGACCAGGCTGGCCTTGAACTCACAGAGATCCGTCTGCCTCTGTCTCCTGAGTGCTGGAATTAAAGATATGCACCACCACATACATATATGTACATTTTTGTAATATTTATATAGGACCCATACAGATTGTAATTTTTTCTTATATCATTTATGCTTTTGTTATCAAAGTTTATTTACTGCATAATCCAAGGACATGTTTCAGTTTCTTGAAATACTTTATGAATTTCAGTTTGTCAGTTTCTTTTCTTTCGTTCTTTTCTTTGTAAACAGTCTAGCCTGGAACTCATCATGTATCAGGTTGGCTTCAAACTCCCTTGCCCC